CACACACACACACAGAGACACACACACAGACACACACACACACACACACACAGACACACACACACACACACAGACACACACACACACACACACACACACACACACACACACAGAGACACACACACAGACACACACACACACACACACACAGACACACACGACACACAGACACACACACAGACACACACACACACAGACACACACACAGACACACACACACACACAGACACAGACACACACACACACACACACAGAGACACACACACAGAGACACACACACAGACACACACACAGACACACACACACACACACAGACACACACACACACAGACACACACACACACACAGAGACACACACACAGACACACACACACACAGACACACACACAGACACACACACACAGACACACACACACAGACACACAGACACACACACACACACACACACAGACACACACACACAGAGACACACACACAGACACACACACAGACACAGACACACACAGACACACACACACAGACACACAGAGACACACACACACAGAGACACACACACACAGAGACACACACACACAGAGACACACACAGAGACACACACAGACAGAGACACACACACACACAGAGACACACACACAGAGACACACACACACACACACACACACAGACACAGACACACACACAGAGACACACACACACACACACAGAGAGACACACACACACAGAGACACACACACACACACAGACACACAGACACACACACACACAGAGACACACACACACACACACACACAGAGACACACACACACACACACAGAGACACACACACAGACACACACACACAGACACACACACACACACACACAGAGACACACACACACACACACAGACACACACACACACACACACACAGAGAGACACACACACACACACACACAGAGACACACACACACACAGACACACACACACACAGACACACACACACACACACACACACAGACACACACACAGACACACACACACACACACACACACAGAGACACACACACACACAGACACACACAGACACACACACACACACACACACACACACACAGACACACACACAGACACACAGACACACACAGAGACACACACACAGAGACACACACACACACACACACAGACACACACAGAGACACACACACACACACACACAGACACACACACACACAGACACACACACAGAGACACACACACACACACACAGAGACACACACACACACAGAGACACACACACACAGACACACACACACACACAGACACACACACACACAGACACACACACACACACACACACACAGACACACACACACACACACACACAGAGACACGAGTTCATTCTTCACATTCTGCTGAGTCTGAACAAAAGCGTCAGTTTGTTAAAAAAAAACAAAAAAAAACAGACTCACAAAATGGAGACAAAATAGTTTCCTCCTGTAGAAAAATGTAAGAATAAAAATAAAGTCTGAAAGTGACCAGAAGTGACCTGAAGTGACCTGAGTCAGTCCAGAGTTTGACACAAACTCAGGGCTGAACTTCAGGTCAGAGAATAATATAAAAAAATGTCTCTTTTAAAAGGTGAAAAATCCTCAACATGTCGCCCATAGAAACTGGACGAGTCTTATTCTAGTCCTGGTCTAGATCTGTCAAGTCCTGGTTTTAATTTAGTCCTTGTTTAATTTTAGTTTAGACCTGGTTTAGACCTGGTTTAGTCCTGGTTTAGTCCTGGTTTAGTCCTGGTTTAGACCTGGTTTAGACCTGGTTTAGTCCTGGTTTAGTCCTGGTTTAGTCCTGGTTTAGACCTGGTTTAGACCTGGTTTAGTCCTGGTTTAGTCCTGGTTGGGTTTTCATTTGGCTCATTTAGTCCTGTTCAGGTTCTGTCTTGGTCCTGTTCTAATCCTGGTTTAGTTCTTTTCTAGTCCTGGTTCGGTCCTGTTCTAGTCTCTCTGGTTCTGGTTTAGTCCCAGTTCTGATGTGAGTCTCTGGTCCAGGTCCGGGTCCGGGTCCGGTACCTTTGTGCATCCGGCCCCAGGTGACTCCGGGGAGAAACGCGTCCAGCGCCGCCAGAGTCCCGAGTCCCGTGACCGCGTCCGACACCAGAACCGTGTGGTTCAGGTCCACGTGCAGGACCAGCTTCCTCCGGGGGACAGAGACACACCCGGGGACAGAGGACAGGGCCCCGGGGACAGAGGACAGGGCCCCGGGGACAGAGGACAGGGCCCCGGGGACAGAGGACAGGGCCCCGGGGACAGGACAGGGCCCCGGGGACAGAGGACAGGGCCCCGGGGACAGAGGACAGGGCCCCGGGGACAGAGGACAGGGCCCCGGGGACAGGAGCTTCGTCCTGCTCCTCCGCGGTCCCGCTGCTCTCGGTTCGGTCCATTTCAGCAGAAGAAGAAGAGTCACACCGGCTCCGTCTGAACGTCCATCACCGGGACAAACCGGGACAGAACCGGGCCGGACCGCGCACTGAACCGACCCGTCAGACCCAGAACAGCCGCGCGGGTCGGACCGGGCAGTGGAGGATGACTCGACTCGGCTCGGCTCAGACCGGTTTGGAGTTTGTTTACTTCCGCGTTCTGCTTTTCTTCTGCGGAAACACAAAGACCCGGAGCGGAAGTGCGCCCCCCGCGGCACACTCCGGTCATGACCAGAGTGACCAGAACGTCCCAGTTTTATACAAGAAATGTTCCTGTTTTTGACCCGCTGATTCTGCCAACGGTGAAAAAAGGGACATAAAACATTTAGGTTTGTTTAGTTTGAGGTTTTTGTTGTGGTAAAACTACAGAAAACACAAAGAAAATGAGACTAAACTGACTCAAGTCACCGAGAATAAATCATGAACAAGTTTCCTCACTCACTCATTTTTTCAGTTTTATTTTTACCGACCAGAGGTGGGACCTGCGAGTCGTGACCCGAGTCAGACTTGAGTCACTGTTTTTAGGACTTGACACTTGACTTAATAAAATGGACTAAAACTTGGGACTCGACTCGATGCTTCCAGAAAAATGTTTTTATAAAAGACTTTTGTCTTTACAGTTGATAAATGCAGCGCTGAATTTTACAGGAACAAACTGGAACATGTCGCTCCCACTTGTGTTTGTCACTTTGGATGGAACTGAAGTACTGAGATACTCAAAAGTACTACAGTAATCTAAAGTACAACACAGTACAACAGAGGGAACTACACAGAACATGATCCTTTATGATGAAAAAGTTCTTTAGCTCTTTTAAATCTGAATTCTTTTTGTTCTGATTGAAATCATTCACACGAAGATCTTGTCAAAACATTTAAAAAAGAAAATAATTGCATTTCTACGAATATTGTATAAATATTCCACGACTTTTTAAGTATAATTTCGTTTAAAATTCAAATAAATTGCAAAAATCAAAGCTGTATTTCGTGATTTAAAGACTTGAAACGACTTGAAGCTCAAAGCAGACGACTTGGACTTGACTTGGACTGATGGAACAGTGACTTGAGACTCGACTTGGACTTGACTGTATTTGACTCGGGACTTTACTCGGACTTGAGGTCAAAGACTTGAGACTCGCAAAACGATGACTCGGTCTCAACTCTTTTACCAACCTCCACAAACCCGGGGTGTTTCAACTTGAATCTTTTCATCAGTTTTGAGTTCAGACACTTTAAATATTTATTATATTATATTTATTTTTAAGATGAAGTATTTTTACTCACACAATTCTGCTCTTTAATGATAAAAATATATAAAAACATTCTCCTGTTTCATGTGGACAGGCCCAGGAATTAGACCTGAACCACAAACCAGGTCAACAAATCTGCACCTGACACTCACCTGTCACTCACCTGTCACTCACCTGTCACTCACCTGTCACTCACCTGACACTCACCTGTCACTCACCTGTCACTCACCTGACACTCACCTGTCACTCACCTGACACTCACCTGTCTCTCACCTGACACTCACCTGACACTCACCTGTCACTCACCTGACACTCACCTGTCACTCACCTGACACTCACCTGTCACTCACCTGTCTCTCACCTGTCTCTCACTTGACACTCACCTGACACTCACCTGACACTCACCTGACACTCACCTGTCACTCACCTGTCACTCACCTGACACTCACCTGTCACACTCTGTCTCTCACCTGACTCACCTGTCACTCACCTGACACTCACCTGTCTCTCACCTGTCTCTCACCTGACACTCACCTGTCACTCACCTGACACTCACCTGTCACTCACCTGTCACTCACCTGACACTCACCTGACACTCACCTGTCACTCACCTGACACTCACCTGTCACTCACCTGTCACTCACCTGACACTCACTGTCACTCACCTGTCACTCACCTGTCACTCACCTGTCACTCACCTGTCTCTCACCTGTCTCTCACCTGTCACTCACCTGTCACTCACCTGACACTCACCTGACACTCACCTGTCACTCACCTGTCACTCACCTGTCACTGTCACTCACCTGACACTCACCTGTCACTCACCTGTCACTCACCTGTCACTCACCTGTCACTCACCTGTCACTCACCTGACACTCACCTGTCACTCACCTGTCACTCACCTGACACTCCTGTCACTCACCTGTCACTCACCTGACACTCACCTGTCACTCACCTGTCACTCACCTGTCACTCACCTGTCACTCACGTGACACATGTAAATTCAGGTTAAACTTGTGTCACGTGTTATGTTCTTTTTACAGATCAGAGTTTGTGTTCAGGTTTTGGCGTCGTCTTCCTGCTGGTTTATGTCTGTGGGTCTGAACCAAACCAAGAACCGACACAGATCCACCGTAAAGTTCAATGTTTCTGGATCAGATTTTAAAAACAGAGCATCTCTAAAGTCCCGCGGGCCCCTGCTCCATCTGAGACGTCTCGCTCTGCCCCTGGTCCCTCACGAGAGACACAAATAATGAGGCGACAGAAAAAAAATAAATAAATAAAAATCCGGAGCGTTTTGAGCCATTGTCAAAGAGTTTATTATATTAACCATTTTATTCTCCACAGCAGCATTTTAATGATCCCATGTTACGCAGAGACACAGAGACACGACTCACGGACAGAAACCAACATCAGGCTCAAGGCCGAAGGCTGCACTTTACAGGCGAGACACATGCACATGCACAGGCCCCGCTGCGCAGGCGAAGGCCCTGCTGCGCGGACGAAGGCCCCGCTGCGCAGACGAAGGCCCCGCTGCGCAGACGAAGGCCCCGCTGCGCAGACGAAGGCCCCGCTGCGCGGACGAAGGCCCCGCTGCGCGGACGAAGGCCCCGCTGCGCGGACGAAGGCCCCGCTGCGCGGGCGAAGGCCCCGCTGCGCAGACAAGTGCCTGACTAAGCAGCGAGACCAGACTACGCAGACAAGTCCCGACTGCGCAGATCGGCTCCGACTGCGCAGACGAGGGCCCGACTGCGCAGCTCCGTCCGTCCACAGGAGCAGGAAACAAAAGTACAAAAAAAAAAACAAATCATCAACAAAAAAACAAACACCCAATGAGATTCTGCATAAAAAGTCAGCGCCTGATATTATTCCTTCTGCTACAGCCCAGTGCACCTGTCAGATCACCTGCCAGGGCACCTTTCAGAGCACCTGTCACAGCACCTGTCATCCAAACCAGGTGCGGTCTGTGAAGCAGCTCAGGTTTGACCCGAGCTCAGATCAGCACCAAAGTTGTGACGCCTGTTTCACCGAGATCGTCTTTAAAGGTTCTGAGTCGGAGTCGCTCCAACGGGAACGACCTTTAAAACACTTCAAACGTTTTTAACTTTCTCAACGTTTACATTTCCTTCAACAAAACTCAAAAAGGCGTCCGCTCAGATCAATCGACTTTTACTGTTTTTGTTAATTATTTGAATCCAGAGACGTGACAGATCTGAAGCTCATCAAACTATTGAACATTTGAATAAATTTGAACTCCAGGATTTTCATTTGATAAATAATTTTGCAGTAAAAAGTTTTCCCATCGCCTGAAGTGTCGCGCTGGAGGTTTGTAGAAGTTCCACTTAATGTTTTTGAGTAAATGTGTCGTTTTCTCCAGCAGCTTCATCACCAAATCTTCAACCAACAAACTCCACAAAGGGTAAACATTCTTCCACCGCTGCAAATTTCTTTGATCTGACCAAGATTTTTAACCTTACATCAGGTTTTTCATCCTATTTTCAGATTTATTATCGACTCACTTGTTCAGAGACGCTCAACTCTCGTCTAGAGTCGTTTATTTGAAGAGAATTCAACTAAAGTCAAGTCAAATCATCTTGCTGCAACTCATTTTCTGATTGATTTAAAGTGTCTCTCAAGTGTTTTAATCTTAAATTTTAGCCAAACTTTTGCAGTGATAAAGAATTTTTCCACAACGATCCAATAGGGGTTTGCAAAAATATCAAAATATCGATATATCAGTATCGATATTGAGTTCTGCGGCTTCGATATTTCACCAAAAGGATTTTTTGGTTTATTTGACTAAATGATTTAGTTCCAGCTCCAGTTTTGTTGTAGTTTATGCGACACATTTGACATTTTCACTGTTTTGAGGATTAAAATGTTTGTTTCAGATGAACTTTACACAAGAAGAAGTGATTTAACAAAGACTTTTAGTGTCACACATGAGTTAGACTTTATTTTTATTTGAATTATGTTGAATCAATTTGAAATATTTATCGTATCAAATCGAAAGCTCCCTGTATCGACGTCTGTATCGTATCGGTAACTTCTTAATGATCCCAGTCCAAACTATCAAGAGAAGAAAAGACGAAAGTTTAAAGGAAACAACGAGCCACATTAATCTCAAACTCAACTAAACTCATGTTGTGGTGCTGGAGACGTGGAACATTTAAACGTCACAAATCCATTTTTATTTGTAATTGTAGAATTGAAGTTCCTTCTGTTTTGTTCCTGATCAGAACATGAGTTGAGTTTGTTGTGTGACGGTTTTGTGTCGTCGTCGTTTTCTTTAAGTTTTCTTCTTTCTTCTCTTCATAGTTGTGGATAAATTCATCGCTGTAAAAAAGTTTGGCCAAAATTTAAGATAAAAACACTTAAATCTACCAGAAGTGAAATGATGTGTCCACGCAGAAGATGATTTAACTTCAAAATAAACGACTCTAGACAAGAATGAAGCGTCTCTGAAAGAGTAATAAAAATATGATGAAGAACCTGATAAAAGATTAAAATTCTTGACAGTGATAGTGGAATGTTTATCCTTTGTGGAGTTTGTTGGTGATGGGGCAGATTTATGAAACTACTGGAGAAAGCGACAAAAAAACATGAACCGAAAAGTGACGTTTACTCGACGTCGCGGCACTTTTGGCCGTTGAGAAAAAGATCTGTGTATTTTTTTATTTATGTTAAGGCTGTAAAAACAGAAGAGGATTTAGTTTCAACATCAGTTTTTAAACTTTTAGCATCAACTAGAATCAGATTTTTCATTCGTTCGCGTCGTTAAACAAACCACACACTTTATTTTTCACTCGGACTGAAAATTAAATCAGGTTTTACCCCGGAATTTGAATTAAACACGACATTTTCACGTCGACATTTCCCCCTTGCGCTTCTCGTTTCGTTTTCTCGGTTTCTGTCGATCCTCCGTTTTGTTTCCCAGAGCAACTTTCTGCAGAACAAAGACTCAACGTGGTCCGGGTTCGGGTCCCGGAGGCTCGGCGTTGGTCTCGGCGTTGGTCTCGGCGTCCGGGCCTCGCGTTGAGCTCCGGGTGCGGTAGGAGCGTCTGCCGCGGCAGCAGGAGTCGCGCTGAAGTTCAGAAAAGTTCAGTTTCCCAACGAAGACGACGGCGACGAAGAGTTTGGGTAAATACAGATCCGATAAAAGACCAGAACGGGTTTTTTTTTCTAAAAGTGAAAGAAGCACCTCTCCCGATCCGCGTTTAGTCCTGGAGAGTCCTGGTTTAATCCCCGGGTTAGTCCAGACTCGGTCCTCGTCTAGACCTGTTCAAGTTCTCGCAGAGTCCAAGGGTGGTTTCAGTTTAGTCCTGGTTTAGTTCTGGTTTAGTCCTGGTTTCCGGTCTAGTCCATCTCCTCCAGGTTTGTGTAGTCCTGCTGTAGGTTCTTGTCTAGTTCTAGTCCAGTCCTGGTTTAGTCCTGGTTTAGTCCTGGTTTAGTCCTGGTTTAGTCCTGGTTTAGTCTCTGTTTAGTCCACCACCACCATGTTCCTGTAGTCCTGGTCTGGTCCTGGTCTGGTCCTAGCTTAGTCCTGGTTTAGTTATGGTTTAATCCTGATCTAGACATGGTTTAGTCCACCTCCTCCATGTTGCTGTAGTCCTGTTTTTAGTCCTGTTTTTAGTCCTGTTTTTAGTCCTGTTTTTAGTCCTGGTTTTAGTCCGGTTTTTAGTCCGGGTTTTAGTCCGGGTTTTAGTCCGGGTTTTAGTCCGGGTTTTAGTCCACCTCCTCCATGTTGCTGTAGGACGGCGCGGCGCTCTCCCCGATCTCGGGGCTCAGCGTTGGGGGTCCCTCTTGGTCCAGATCGGGTCCGAACAGGGACTGACCGGAGGCCTGAAACACAAACCAGGATTTAACCCAAACTCCAACAGGAAACAGAACAAAAACCAAAACAAAAAAAACACAAAAATAAAAAGACAAAGCTCCACATTTGAGACGAGGAGAGCTCAGAGTTTGGAAGCCGTTGTGTTTTATTTTCGGGAGGAAGCAGCGTTTGTGGAGGCGTCTTCGTCACATTATTGCAGATTATTACAACGTTTAAAACCGTTTAAATCATCAAGAATTCATCATCATAATAAACAAGAATCATTTCATTTACACAGTTGATTGGACAAAACGTCGTTAAGACCAAAAACAAACAAACAAACGAACAAACGACCAGAGCCGATTGTCGCGGCCAGGAGGGGGCGATGTGGAGAAAACAGAAAACCAGAGTTTGATTTTAACAAGATTCAAGTAAAATCCCATAATCCTCTATTTTCTGTTCTGTTCTTAGTCCTAATTTTGTCCTGGTTCAGTCCCGGTTTAGTCCCAATTTAGGTCCAGATTAGGCCCAGTTTAGTCCTTGCTTAGACCCACTTTAGATCTGGTTTAGTCATAGTTTAGATCTCGTTTAGTCCTGGTTCAGATCCGGATTAGTCCCGGTTTAGTCCTGATTTAGGTCCAGATTAGGCCTGGTTTTGTCCCGGTTTAGTCCCGGTTTAGACCTGGTTTAGTCCCAGTTTAGTCCCGATTTAGGCCCAGTTTAGTCACAGTTTAGTCCTTGCTTAGACCCAGTTTAGTCCCGGTTTAGTCCCAGTTTAGTCATAGTTTAGACCTGGTTTAGTCCCAATTTAGGTCCGGATTAGTGCCGGTTTAGTCCCGGTTCAGATCCAGAGTAGACCCAGTTTAGTCCTGGTTTAGTCCTTGTTTAGTCCTGGTTTAGTCCTGGTTTAAGACCCAGTTTAGGCCTGATTTAGACCCGGTTTAGTCCTGATATAGTCCTGGTTCAGTCTTGGTTCAGTCCTGGTTTTAAAGACGTAAATAAACTCGTCTGCTTCTTCTGAACGTCCACACTTGACTGTGATTGGTTAAACTCGGCCGTCACTCGCTCACAGACGGCGGAGTTAAACCCTCGTGTCCAATCAGGATTCAGCTTCCCCACGTGGCCCCGCCCTCATTACACATGCGCATATTCATCACCACCACATAAATATTCAGAGCAGAGATTTGCATAAAGCTCTAAAACTGGAGCCACGGCGCCACCCTGAGGTCAAAACATTCACACGCCGCTTTGGATCAGAACCAGAACCAGAACTCAAAAATAAATAAAATAAAAATAAAAAAATAAAACGATTAAACTCCGACGAGACGGACGCTCTAAACATCTGTGACTCTAGAGCGGATTTATTCTGATTAAAATGACAAAATGTAAATAAAAAAGTGATTAAGTGCTGTGTAAGAGTAAATCAGATAAATGAGTTTAGAGTTTAGAGTTCAGAGTTCAGTCGTGTTTTCAGCTCCTGAGACTCTTAAATATGGCTTTAAAACACTAATCACACATTTAAATTACATCACGTTAAAACTTCTTCATTCTGACAAAGTGTAATTCTACTTATTGCTTTTTAATTTAAAGTTTTATAATAAGTTTTTTTTTTTGGATTTCAGCGATTTCAAGTTTGACTTTGTTGAAAAAATATTCTCAGTAATAAAAATAACAAACGGATCAAATAAAGTTTCTTTCTGAATCTGTTTTAAGACACACAGATGTTCGTGCAGAGACTTTTGTGTTTTTAAGATTCTCATAGGATTAGTTTTATTATATTTATATTTATTTGTAGTCATTGTGGAGGAGAATCTTAAATCTTAATCCCAGGTGATTAAGATCCGTGTCTGTCATTTGTAAAGTAAAAATTCTGCCTCAAATGACCGACTGTATTTGTCCAAACTCAGACGTCGGGTGATAAAACTCGTCCAGTGTGAATCTGCGTCTCAGAGTTTGTTGTTGTATTTGGTTTCGGTCAAACAGAAGTAAACAACAAGACCAAAAACTCAAGTTAATTCATCTGATATAAAAGTGTATTGAACAGATACATATGTACTCGAGTTTATCAAACTGTTGATCTTTTTTCTGTACCATTTTTGGTTCTAAAGTTCCATCCGTTTTAAACAGACCATGTATGAAACATGGAACAAAAATTATTTCCCAAATTTCAAAGACCCAAAAATCATGTAAATAAATGTTTGTATTTCATCATATCTTGTGTTATTCCATCTTTGAACTGTTGATGAAGGGACAGGATTTTAAAAAAAAAAAAAGTATTTAAAATGATAAAAATGTTCTTGGAAGGACTGACATATTTTATAGAAATAGTTTCTTTCATTTTGAAGTAATATTAAAGTTTTCAGAAGAAAAAAAGCAACAAATGATGTAAAATCCTGCACCTTCTACTTGTTTGTACAATTTTCCCTCCGTTACTTTTCCCTCCGTTACCATGAACTTTCTTAATAAAAAATCTCATGAGTCAAAAAGTCAGAGGTTTTTCAACCTAATCTTGTACCATATGGTAGAAAACTATATGAAGCAAATATTCAAACCAGTTTGTTAAGGATATGGAAGTGAGAACCAAGAGTTATCACTGTTTGGATTTATTGACCAAAAAGTGCTGCATATTTCATTCCCTCCGTTACCGACATGAGTTTTAAAATTTTTTGTCTTGAACTTGAAAGAATCTCACAGGTTTAACTTGACCCTGTTGGAGTGTAACTCTTTCCTACATTCTGATACTTTACTTATTTCAATAGTTCCTCTAGTTTCTGAATAAGAGACATTTGAATGTCAAAAATCTGACCCTGTTTCCTCCGTTACCACTTGACTGGACCCAGTTGAATCTTTTCTGTCTCTTTTCTTTTCGTGTTCTTTTCTCTTTCAGTCTGTCAGTGGCAGTAAAACAAGAGTTATTTACAGACTTGGTTCATCCTGTGCAAATTCTCTGTGAATAACACAAGTGTCGGGCGGGAATCTGCAAATTACCAGACGTCCCCAAATTGGATTAATCCCGTGTGAAAGCTCCTCTTCCAGCACTTATTAAAACAAATGTTTTGGTTGGAGAGCGACTCAGCGAGCGCGCGGAACGACCGCAATTATTTTTAAGATGAATAAATGTTTAGATGATCCAGGAATAAATTAAATCAGAATAAACCACCCACTCACTTTGGAATTAAGTTTAACTCTGAATAATCAGCAGGAAGTGTTTACATGCTCCTTTTAGAGCGGAATTAATTTAGATTCAGAATACAATTTTTAATTTTAATTTTTAATTAAAGTGCTCATGTAAACGGGACAACTGAGACTGAAAGAGAAAAGAAAAAGAACAATTACAACAACAAAGAGTGAGATGTAGATTCACACTGGACGAGTTTCATCAGCCCACGTCTGAGTTTGGAGACACAGTTTCTGTTTCTGTTTGAGTTTGTCTTTGGTCATTTGTGGCAGAGTTTTTACTTTACAGACACGGAGCATCCACACAGGATGAAGATCTGAGGCTCCTCCACAGTTCCTACAAATCACCACAGGTCACAGGTCACAGGTCACAGGTCAGACTGATCCTGTGAGAATCGGGAATAACACAGACGTTTCCCTGTTGGATTTTTCCCAAGTGCATAAAACTCTATCTTGGAGTTTACTTCAGTTTTGATGTAAAGTTTAAATATAAAGTTTTCAGAAACATTTCATCTGACGCAAAAACCTGCAGACCTGATCTGATCCTGTTTGACTCTGGAGCATCTTTGTGTTTAAAAGGAAAATAAAACTCAGTTTATTTAAAGTTTCCTCTGAGCTCCAGACTCAGACCAGGACACAGAGTCCAGGACGGACCAGGTCCTGGGACGAGTCTCAGGTCCAGACTCAGTCCACTGTTACAGGGACTCATGCATAGACAGGCCACTCCAGACCCACTTTAGTCCTGGTTTAGTTCTGGTTTAGTCCTACTTCAGTAGACTACAGGTCACAGGCCGAGTCCCTGGTTTAGACCCAGGTTCAGTCCTCAGACCCAGGGCCCCTGCAGTAAATAGATCCTGGTTTAGTCCAGGTTTAGTCCGGGTCTGGTCTGGGCTCAGACCCAGGGCGCCCTGTAGATGAGGGAGTAGAACATGTTGATGACGAGGCCGAGCGCGGCGGCGACGGTGGCGAGCAGCAGGTATCGGGTCCAGTCGTCGTCCTCTGACAGGTGTTCTGACAGGTGCTGTGACAGGTGCCGTGACAGGTGCGGGTCCCCACGGCTCCCCGGGGCCCTGCGCTCGGCCCGGCCCCTCGGCCGTCTGCGCAGACCCTCGTCTTCCTCCAACTCTCGCCAAATCAGAGCGGCCTGCGATTGGCGGAAACCGGGGTCAGGCTAACTGTGCAACGCAGGCTAACGCAGGCTAACACGGGCTAACTCACGCTAACTCAGGCTAACTCACGCTAACTCACGCTAACACGGGCTAACTCACGCTAACTAAGCTAAGCCAGGCTAAACCAGGCTAACTCACGCTAACACGGGCTAACTCACGCTAACGCAAGCTAAGCCAGGCTAAACCAGGCTAACTCATGCTAACACGGCTAACACGGGCTAACTCACGCTAACTCATGCTAACTCACGCTAACGCAAGCTAAGCCAGGCTAAACCAGGCTAACTCAAGCTAACACGGGCTAACTCACGCTAACTCACGCTAACGCAAGCTAAGCCAGGCTAAACCAGGCTAACTCACGCTAACACGGGCTAACACGGGCTAACTCACGCTAACACGAGCTAACTCACGCTAACGCAAGCTAAGCCAGGCTAAACCAGGCTAACTCATGCTAACCCAGGCTCGCTCAGAGTGAGTGTGGTGAGTGCAGACTGTAGCTCGACACTTTAGACTTGAGTTAAAGTTTGAATAGAGTTGGATAAACAACTCAGAGCTTCAGGTGAAAGTCACACGACCTGAGGTCACACGACCTGAGGTCACTCTCGCCTCAGGTCACAGTGATTGTACGACAGGAGTTTTAGTTGTTGAACAGAGACTGACAGAGAGGTGTAGATAAACAGTCTGGTCACGTCTGTGGAGACTCAAGTCTCAGGTCAGTTTAAACAGAAGCTCTTTGGCTCAGGCCGAGGTCTGAGGAAAAGAGCCAAAACACCACGAGACACAAGAGACTTTAGAGACTTTAGAGACTTTAGAGTCTCTGTGGGAGAGTCACAGTTCTTCTGTTTAAGTTTTTGTTTATAATCATATAAATAAATAAAGAGCCTGGACGCTCGTCTGTGACAAACCTGCTCTTGTCTCATCACAGACTTTAAAGCGTCTTCATCGCTCTCTTCCTCGCCCTGCGCCGCTCAGAGGGGGGGGGTGGGGTGGGGGTGGGGGGTCTCACCTGGCTGGCGGCCGCTCCCGCGGTCGTGGGCGACTCCGCTCCGAGTGGGCGGGGCACGCGCGGCGGTCGCTCCACGGGGCTGTTCCTGCGGCGGTAGAACAGGACGTAGGCGTAACGAGTCACCACCTGAGACTCCTCCACCATCGTGACGGTGCTGTCGTCAAAAAGACGCCAACCTGACCAGAGCAGACCAGAGCAGACCAGAGCAGACCAGACCAGAGCAGACCAGAGCAGACCAGACAGACCAGAGCAGACCAGACCAGAGCAGACCAGACAGACCAGACCAGAGCAGAGCAGACCAGAGCAGAGCAGAGCAGACCAGACCAGACCAGAGCAGAGCAGACAGAGCAGACCAGAGCAGACCAGACCAGACCAGACCAGACCAGACCAGACCAGAGCAACCAGACCAGCAGACCAGACCAGAGCAGACAGACCAGAGCAGACAGACCAGACCAGACAGACCAGACCAGAGCAGAGCAGACCAGAGCAGACCAGAGCAGAGCAGACCAGAGCAGACCAGACCAGAGCAGACCAGACCAGAGCAGACCAGAGCAGAGCAGAGCAGACCAGACCAGACCAGACCAGACCAGACCAGACCAGAGCAGACCAGAGCAGACCAGACCAGACCAGACAGACCAGAGCAGACCAGAGCAGACCAGACCAGACCAGACAGAGCAGACCAGAGCAGACCAGACCAGACCAGAGCAGACAGAGCAGAGCCAGACCAGAGCAGACCAGACAGAGCAGAGCAGAGCAGACCAGAGCAGACCAGACCAGAGCAGACCAGAGCAGAGAGACCAGAGCAGACCAGAGCAGACCAGAGCAGACCAGACCAGAGACCAGAGCAGACCAGAGCAGACCAGAGCCAGACCAGAGCAGACCAGAGCAGAGCAGACCAGAGCAGACCAGAGCAGACCAGAGCAGACCAGAGCAGACCAGAGCAGACCAGACCAGACCAGAGCAGACCAGAGCAGACCAGACAGAGCAGACCAGAGCAGAGCCAGAGCAGACCAGAGCAGAGCAGACCAGACCAGACCAGACCAGACCAGACAGACCAGAGCAGAGCAGAGCAGAGCAGACCAGACCAGACCAGACCAGAGCAGACCAGACAGAGCAGACCAGAGCAGACCAGAGCAGACCAGACCAGACCAGAGCAGACCAGAGCAGACCAGAGCAGACAGACAGACCAGACCAGAGCCAGACCAGACCAGACCAGAGCAGACCAGACCAGAGCAGACCAGAGCCAGAGCAGACCAGAGCAGACCAGAGCAGACCAGACCAGACCAGAGCAGACCAGAGCAGACCAGAGCAGAGCAGAGCAGACCAGAGCAGACCAGAGCAGACCAGAGCAGACCAGACCAGAGCAGACCAGACCAGACCAGACCAGACCAGAGCAGACCAGAGCAGACCAGAGCAGAGCAGACCAGACCAGAGCAGACCAGAGCAGACCAGACCAGACCAGACCAGAGCAGACCAGACCAGAGCAGACCAGAGCAGAGAGACCAGACCAGACCAGAGAGCAGACCAGAGCAGACCAGACCAGAGCAGACAGAGCAGACCAGACCAGACCAGACCAGAGCAGACCAGACCAGACAGACCAGAGCAGACCAGAGCAGACCAGAGCAGACCAGACCAGAGCAGACCAGAGCAGACCCAGACCAGAGCAGAGCAGACCAGAGCAGACCAGACCAGAGCAGACCAGAGCAGACCAGACCAGAGCAGACCAGACCAGAGCAGACCAGACCAGAGCAGACCAGACCAGACCAGACCAGAGCAGACCAGAGCAGACCAGAGCAGACCAGAGCAGAGCAGACCAGAGCAGAGCAGACCAGAGCAGACCAGAGCAGACCAGAGCAGACCAGAGCAGACCAGACCAGAGCAGACCAGAGCAGAGCAGACCAGACCAGAGCAGACCAGAGCAGAGCAGACCAGAGCAGACCAGAGCAGACCAGAGCAGACCAGAGCAGAGCAGACCAGAGCAGACCAGAGCAGACCAGACCAGAGCAGACCAGACCAGACAGACCAGAGCAGACCAGAGGGTTAAGAGCACAGAAACAAAAGAGAGAGGTAAAAGTTACTATCATGACAACACAAGATGTTCATGTTTAACATGTTTGGTTGTGTCGTGTGTAGCTCCAGGTGCTTCTCACCGACGTCGCTGCGTTGGCTGTTCTTGTCGCTGGGCAGGCGGGCGTAGGCCGTGTAGTGCCCCCCAATCATGCCCCCGTAGTGGTTTATCACAGCGTACAGGTCGTACACAGGAGCCTGCTGCAGGTCGTCCTTCTGACCGATACAAAACTTACTCAAGTCCAAGTTTCTGCAACGAGACGAGCCACGAGAGCCACGATTACGACTGAGACTGTGAATGTGGAACACGATTTGAGACACGAGTGTGAAAACCTCTGGACACACGACTCACAGCTCAAGAGTCTAAAGAGTGTGTGTTTATACAGGTTGAGGACAGAGCGTCAAGAGAGGGGCACTGTGGACAGGTGCGTGGACAGGTGCATGGACAGGTGCATGGACAGGTGCATGGACAGGTGCGTGTACCTGACGGGGAAGTCCACCATGTCGTTGATCTTGTCTCTCCAGATGAAGCTCCTGAAGGAGAAGCGTTTGAGTTGGATGATCAGGACGTTGGGCAGGCGCCACAGGAGCAGCTGTTTAGACGCCTCTCTGTGCTGCTGACACTTGGGGCAGTACCTTCAACACAAACATGAACATTCATGAACATTCAGACGCTCCTCAGCTCCATCTCCGTCACAGTGAAGACCCTCTGTCCTCACCAGGCCTCCTCTGGGGCGAGCACCTCCGGGCGAGTGAACAGGTTCAGACACTGCTCCAGACTGAAGTGTCCGGCTCTGGACGTCTCACTCAGGGAGCCCGGGTCCTCCTCAAACTCCAGGTCTTTGGAGCTCACCAGAACATACTCCTTCAGACGCTCGTTATTCTTCCACACCAGCTCCAGAGTGCAGTCCTCAGACAGGTCCAGGAGACTGTCCTCTGCAGGAGGAAGAGTCAGGGAATAAGTGGACACGAGGTTCTAATGTATTCAGCTTATTTAAACAGAGATATGAACGTTTGAAACCTCTCTCCTCCAGCTTCTGCTCCTTGTTGTTGGAGTCCAGGATGGAGATGTAGAACTGACTCTGGCCCGACAGAGCCTCAGGCGAGTGCTGGTATCCAGTGACAGCCGCTGACACACAAACACAAACAGATCACATTATGAACCAAAGGCTCTGACTCTGTCACTGCCCTTTGTCTCCTGCTCTGTTCATCTGCAGATGTTCTGAGTGTTTGTTGGTACCTTCTGGCCTGACGGCTTTTTCACAGGACGTCTCCTTCTCTGCGTGAGGGTCGGAGCAGCAGGAGGCCGAGGAGCTGAGCTCAGAGACTCCAGAGTCTGTGACGGTGGAGGGGGAGGACAGGGGCTGAGCGTCCCCAGAGACGAGCGCCGAGGCCTGAGCACACTCTGCCTGCTCTTCGGCCTCTCCGGGTTCTCCGGGTTCTCCGGAGCTCTCGCCCATGGCCTCGTCCTCTGAGCCCTCTGAGGGCACAGACAGCGGGGGCAGGTCCGAGCGGCTCTGGGAGCTCTCCGGAGACAAACGTCCAGACTGGAACGGAGGCTGGAACACGTTCACTGAAAACCTAAAGACGCACAGAGACACAAGGAGAAGAATGAAAACATGAGATCACGACATCACGAGATCACGACATCATGAGATCACGAGATCACGACATCATGAGATCACGACATCATGAGATCACGAGAGCTCAGACAGTTTAAACAGAAAGTTTAAACAGGACACGACCCTTTGACTTTTACACTCACATCTGTGTTGGAACTTTGGAAACATTCTGACGCCAACAACAAACTAACTCAACCAGACCAGGACCAGACCAGGACCAGACCAGGACCAGACCAGGACCAGACCAGGACCAGGACCAGGACCAGGACCATGTGGTTAGTCTCTTTGGGTCCAGTTGGAGCAGCGCCTGTACCCCTGTCGTAGCCCCTGTCGTAGCTCCTGTTGCACCTGTCGTACCTGCCGTAGCCCCTGTCCCCGTCGTACCTGTCGTAGCCCCTGTCCACCTGTCGTAGCCCCTGTCCCTGTCGTACCTGTCGTAGCCCCTGTCCACCTGTCGTAGCCCCTGTCCCCGTCGTACCTGGAGTAGCCCTGCAGCAGCTGAGTGAGCCTGGCGGTGGTCAGTCTGGACTCGGGGACGCTGATGAGGAAGGGCAGACCCACGAGCTCGGTGTGCGGGCGACACAGAGCCTTGTGGTTGGGCCAGTGGGTTCTCTGACACACCCTGAGGGACGAGAGGGTCAGAGGTCAGAGGTGAAAGGTCACGGGTCGGTCTGACGGAGGCGGGACGGTCGACACTCACTGGTTGCAGTATCCGACGCGGTAACAGCGCGTGCACCTCTTCAGTTTGTCCTCCTCGGACACGGGCGGCTTCAGACACGCGGCGCACTTCGAAATGGGAATGTTGGGGACTTGGAGTTTCTGAAAACGTAAAAAAAAAAAAAAAAGGTTTAAGGGGTTAGTTCTACTGAAATTAAAGGTTGTATGGAGGATTTTTTTTGTTTCAAATTGTCAGTGATAGATTATAGATGCAGTCGCCTTGTAATTATGATGACCAAAAAAAAGAGAATAAAAATTCATCAACTCTGGACGTGGTGGGGCTAAACATTTGCCAATAGATAACGACACTGCCTCGTTATCTGTGAGCTGACAGGCTGTCAATCAAACTCCCTACGTTTCTAGTGTAACTGACTTGCCTGCGCCGCCGGTACGTGGTTTACGTACGACACAGACGCTGTTTACTCCACCAACACAACAGTTCTTAGCGGCTTTTTTCACCTATATCTTCCTCGCAGTTCACACAAAGTTTGTTGCGATGGCGACAAGAATCCAGGAGCAGTTCGCCGCAAAAGAAAGTCCGTTTTTGAGGTGAAAGAAGAAAACAAGGGGAAAAGCAGCGAAGACAAACTAAGGTGATTCTTGGAGATTCATTCCAGCGATGGCGCGACTGAAGCAGACGAAGAGTCTAAAGACTGAACCACTGGTCACAAATTACTCCTGGACAGGAAACTTCTGCTGATTATGAAAACGTACTTTATTTCCAAGAGTGAGACAAACGTTTTTCAGGACACAAATGTGATATCCTATGTCTGAAAACGTCATTTTCAATGCAAAGAAAGAGTCCACTTGCTGCTGCGTGTTGTAGCTAGTTCATTCGCACGGAATCTCTGCACCCCTTACTGCTCCTCTCTCCTCTCTCTCCTCTCCCCGCTCCGTTCTTCCCCCTGCTCCTCACTTCTTCTCTGCGCACGAAATGTCCGCGCCCCCCCTCCCCCCGCTCCTCACTTCTCCGTCTTGCCTAACCAACACTGTAGTTAGTTGTTTACAAGTCATGTGCAGCGATGAGGACTTGTTTTCTAGAAACAAACCTGTTTGTGGCGTAAGGAGGAGGAGGGAGGAGGTGTTTCTACGTAGGAGCTGTGGGGAGGGGGGGTGGTTTCACGCAGGAGCAACATTTGAAAAATGACAAACAGTCGCTGGATTTCTCCTTCCTTGGAAAATCCTCTATACAACCTTTAAGTTTCAACATGTAAAAAAAGGCAGTGAAATGTTTAAAATTCAGGAGTGTAATTATCGCCGCGCTGCTCTCCTCAGGGGGCAGGTCACTGTGACTGTGACAAACTGCCTCAATCCAATAAACAACGATTTAACATTCAGCAAAATAAAACTCGGGCCCGGGATCGATGAGCTCTGTGGGGAAAATGGGAGCAGGACTTCAGCAGCACGTTTTATATTTGATAATAAACCGGTCGACTCTTCACACAGACTGTACAGACACTATCAGACAGTACGAGGCTCCTCCCACTCTGCCCCCTACAGTCTGTGCTCGTTTTTCTGGACTCAGACTCAGGTTCTGTTTCACACAAACGTCTCACACACGTCTTCTGACTCAAACTTCTGAGACAAGTGTGAGAAAAAGAGAAAGTGCTTATCACGAGTGCGTTTGATTTACTCTTTCCCCCATGAAGACGACATTTGACGACCCCCTTGTTTCCTTAATGACGACTTTTGACTCCTCCGCTGTTTCACTAAAGACGTGATTTGACGACCTTTAGAAATGGCTCGGTTTTTCACATGTAAACAGAGACTGTGATCGGTCGGGGCCACTACAACCCACACTAGACTGACCAATAGGATTCAAGGATATGTTTTTCGCCGATTTTTTCCGAAGTTAATCAAAGTTGTGACGATGGAGCTTCGGGAAAAAACACAACACGAAACACGAGCAATGGAAAGATCGCGGCGCACAGTTTTAGAAATAATGAGGAGCGGACGTATTTTATGGATAAGTTTAGAGAAAGTGACTTTTATAGATTTCAAAGTGATGATGAAGTTGATTATAAAGTGGAAAACAGCGACAGCGACGGACTTACAGAGAGTGAAACTTACGAAGATGAGAATACAGCTGATGCGTCTGTGTGGAGTCCTGCGATGTCCAAACAAACTATCTGGACTTTATACTCGATTATGAACCAAAACTGTCCTGAAATCTGGATGTTGCTCAGGCCAGTCCTTTAAAATATTTCAGTCTTTTTTTCCAAGATGTGATGTATAACAGAATCGCTACAGAAACAAACACTTATGTGGAGCTCTGCACACGAGAAAGTGACCAAGATGACACATACTGGACTCCCACTGACGGGGAAGAGTTTTATTATTATATTATTATATTATAATAAGCTGAATTTGTTGAATAAATTAAATAAGTTGAATAAGTTAAATGGAAAAAATGAATTAGGTGCACACAGGTGAACAACAGGTAAAAACAGGTGCACACTTGGCTTCACTGTATCTGGTGATATGAAATCTGTTTAAATACTTTGACAAAGTATATTTTTAATTTTTTTTATGAATATAATACTCAGAACATGCAGATATCAAATGATGAATGTAGTTTTTTGTTTTCGATTTTGCACCTGAGCAGGTAAACTCTCATTTTCAGTGAGCTGTTATACACCTATAAATGAGTTGAATCACATTTAAATATCCAGAAATGAAGAGTTCAGAGTCTGAGGTTTCCAGAGATACAAATATGTCTGTGTTACAATTAAGTTCATGAGTGTAAAATTGATTTATAATCACTCGTGGAAGTCTGTTTTCTTTTATGCAGTGATGCTCTATGGGCAGAACTAGTAACATATGTATGGGTTGTTCCTAGTCGGCGTCCGGGGGGGAAAGAGTTAAAGCCCACGTGAAGACAAAAGCGATTCTAAAGTGAATCTCTTTGTCGTTCCTGCATCTGTGAAGGTCAAATAAAGTGAGTAAAGATAAGATCAGATCAGATCTCTGTCCAGTTTTCTCTCGTCCTCCTCAGATGCAGAAACAGAAAACAGCTCCACAGAGACTCACAGCTGAAATATTCTAACAAACTCTGACCAAAACAAAAAAAACACGGAGACCTGGAGGAACACGAGGATCGACCAACAGGACACCAGGATCCAACGACTCAATATTCTATCGAATATCGTTACATCCCAAACAAACGGGCTTAAAAAATAAAGCTTCACTCTGTGTCATGAGACTTTATGATATTGAACTTTTTCATGATGTTCAGATTTTATTTTGATGAACCTGCAGGTCAAACGAGATGTGATGGTAAAAAAAGAATTTCCCCTCAGAGACGAGAAAGTCTAAAGTCAAAAAGTCAAAATCAAGCAGTAAGGAAGCAACGTCTGATTCAGAATTTATAACAGATTCATTGTTTGTAAATGATGCACCTGTCAGCCCTGTCTGTACCTGGTGCACCTGTCGGCCCTGTCACCTGGTGCACCTGTCGGCCCTGTCTGTACCTGGTGCACGCGCAGCTCCACCACTCTCTCTTTGGCCAGGTCTCTGGAGAGAACCTCGAAGCAGAACAACATGTCCGACGCAGAGACGGTGTCCAGGGAGTGAGACGGCAGCAGGACGCGCTGGAACCGGCACTTAGCCACCTGCACACAGAGATGGAGACAGAGACAGGTGAGGACAGGTGAGGACAGGTGAGCACAGGTGAGGACAGGTGAGCACAGGTGAGGACAGGTGAGCACAGGTGAGCACAGGTGAGGACAGGTGAGGACAGGTGAGGTGAGCACAGGTGAGGACAGGTGAGGACAGGTGAGGACAGGTGAGGACAGGTGAGCACAGGTGAGGACAGGTGAGTTTAAACAGGTAAAAACAGACTCCATCCTCCACTGAGACCAACAGGTGTGAGACTTTAACAGGTAAAAACAGACTGATGGTCCTTCAGAGACAGAGAGACACATACAGCAGAGCCCAGGTGAGCCCAGGTGAGCCCAGGTGAGTTTAACCAGGTAAAAACAGACCCATGGCCCTTCAGAAAGAGTGAGAGATACATACAGGTACACACTGGTAAATACAGGTGAACACAGGTGAGTTTAAAGCTGCAAAAACAGACTAAAGGCCCTTCAGAGACAGGGAGACACACATACAGGTGAGCACAGGAGAGCACAGGTGAGGACAGATGAGGACAGGTGAGTTTAAACGGGTAAAAACAGACTGCATCCTCCACTGAGACCAACAGATAAAAACAGACTGACGGCCCTTCAGAGACAGGTGAGCACAGGTGAGCACAGGTGAGCACAACCAGGTAAAAACAGACTAACGGCCCTTCAGAGACAGGGAGACACACATACAGGTGAGCACAGGTGAGCACAGGTGGGCCCAGGTGAGTCCAGGTGAGCACAGGTGAGTTTAACAAGGTAAAAACAGACCCACGGCCCTTTAGAGAGAGAGACACATACAGGTAAATACAGGTAAACACAGGTAAACACAGGTAAACACAGGTGAACACAGGTGAACACAGGTGAACACAGGTGAGCACAGGTGAGCACAGGTGAGCACAGGTGAACACAGGTGAACACAGGTGAGTTTAACAAGGTAAAAACAGACTAACAGCGCTTCAGAGAGAGTGTGAGACACATACAGGTAAACACAGATGAGCACAGGTGAGCACAGGTGAGTTTTAACAGGTAAAAACAGACGGACGGTCCTGCAGAGCTCATGCTGAGGTAAACCCAGGTGAGTGTGACCAGGTAAACTTCGCCCCTCAGGTCTCACCTCGGCCAGACGCAGGTTCTCGGCTTTGACCCTGACGCTGCGTGAGATGGACTCCAGGACCTCGGCGGTGCTTGAGTGCTCTTTGCTCACGCTCACCAGGAACTGAGGAAGAAGAAGAAGAAGGAGAAGAGGAGAATCATCAGGAACCATGTGACAAAGTCGGTGTTTCATTTCACACACTTAAGTTAATTTGTTCATCTTCATATCCATCTAAAATTACATCATTCTTAATTCTTTTAATTATCACATAACACTTTGTTAAACTGAAAATACTTGATCTTGACACTTTTAAAGACTTGGGAGGAGGTTTTGGGCCAAACACGTGGAGGAGAGAATTGGTTTCAGTTCTTTTTAGTTTCATTGTTTTTGTGTTTTTGGTTTTATAGTTTAAATACAACGCACTGTTTGGTTTGTGTTGAGCACTTTGGTCCATGTGAACAAAAAAAATCCCGGCTTTTGACTTTTGAGAGTTACGTATAGTCGAGTTTCAGCTGACGTCATTGTTATTAAAAGTGCACGTTGCTGCTGGGAAATATTTTGGTCGGAGGCAAGAAACACGGTAGCGTCAAACACAGTGCGTAACCTCGTGTATTTCTCCCTATTCCTGCTGCATTATCATATTATTGTATTCTGAGTGAAAAGAACCGCTAACGGTGAATTAAACGGCTTTCAAACATCCGCAGAGCAAACGTAGAAGATCCTTGAACAAGTTCAACAACACATGGAGACTCTTGGAGGTTTTCATCTTTTCTGCTGTGAATGGCCCAGGAGTTTCCACCAAGTCATTGTGGATGTCGCCCAAGTGAATATTTGTCCAGGGAGTTGGAGATTCTGACCAGAAGTTTGGTTTGGTCCAGACTCTGTCGGGGTTGAAAAGGGTGATTTGTCGTCCGTCGATGTTTATGACCAATTTCTGGTCAAATGGTCTTGGGTCCTCTGCCGTTAGAGTGGAGAAATAACCGGGATCAATACCCTTTACGTTCTTTCTCGCTCCGTCTCTCATGTTCAATTAGTGTTTCTTGCCGCCGACCAAAATAATTCCCAGGATGCAACGCTTTTGTCAACAATGAAACTCACCTATAAGAGAGGTGCTAGTTAGGGGTGTGCAAAAATATCTAAATATCGATATTTCGCATCGTTTAATGTGATGATACAGTATCGATATATCACCAAGAGGATTTTTTGGTTTATTTTACTAAATTATTTAGTTCCAGCTCTAGTTTTGTTGTTTGTTCAGAGGAAGGAAACTCGTTTATGCGACACATTTAACATTTCCGCTGTCTTGTCGATTTAAATGTTTGTGTTTCAGATGAACTTTGCACAAAGAAGTGATTTAACAAAGACTTTTAGTGACACACACAATGTAGAACACAGGTGTCAAACATATGGCCCGGGGGCCAGATCCGGCCCTCCAAGACCTTTAATCTGGCCCTCGGCTGATTTTCTACTCAAATATTTTAATGATATTTTCTATTAAAATGGTGTTAATTTTGTGTGGTGTTTATCACAGCAGCGTCTCCAGCGTCTCTGTACGTGGCCCCTCCCACCAGAGCAGCACAAATGAAGACTTGTCTCTTTCCAAACGTCTTAAAGGACGATCGTTTTGACTGTTGACCGTGACACCCTCATCAGAAAAATGTCCAACATGAGAAAAGTGGAGCCGAGTGCAGAATTTTACAACAAAAATGGACTTATTCCTGTTTACAGACAAGTTCATGTTCAAACTTTGTGTTGAAATTGTATTTTTCTTCAAGTTTCAGGTTGTTCATAATATTATAATATTTTGTAAAAGAAAGAGTTCATCAATTCAAAAAGATTTCTGTAATAGATTTGTGTTTCTCTGCACAAATATTTGAACTTATTGTTATTTTTGGCGTTTATATGACATGAGTTTTCTGATCTGGGCACTTTGGGATCAAAGTCGGTTGGACACGACCCCCGGAACAAAATGAGTTTGACACCCCTGATGTAGACGTTACGTTTTTATTGAATCATATCGAATTGATTTGAAATATATTGTACTGAATCAAAAGTTCACTGTATCGAGGTCTGTATCGTATCTGTAACTTCTTAATGATTCTCAGCCCTGGAGGTGATGCTGACCTGGGGGGTCTAAAGGCAAACAGGTTTTATCATTTGGAGGAGAGACTTGTGCGCCGTTGGGTGCACGAAGTTGTTGCGTTTGATTTGATTTACGTAACTTATTATCTGAGCCTCCGGTCTCTTATTTGTTTGAACAGTTTATTTGTGATGAAGTTATTTTGCGTTAGCTCCAGAAGTCAGTTTTAAATACATTTTTCTCTGGTCAAAGACACTTTTTTATTTTTAGTCTGCCTCCTATTTCGACCACATCGGGCCACACACACTATAAACTCTATGTGTGAATGTTTGTGTGTGTGTCAGAGTGTGCGTGAGTGTGTATGTGTCTTTACCTTGACAGGTTTTTTATGAGGCTCTTTGGCGAAGTAGAAAACAGAAAGCACCTTCTGTTTCTGAGGCAACGGCACCGGCAGGTACAGGAAGGGGTCAAAGGTTATGGACACCTGAGGAAGAGGAAGAAGAGGAGGAGGAGGAGGAAGAAGAAGAAGAGGAGGAGGAGGAGTGTTACATCTTAATCTGAACGTTTTTTTTTTTTTCTCTGTTTCGTTGAGAGTCACTGACCTTGGAGCAGGTGGGACACACGAGTTTGGACTTAAACTGTCCCTGAAACAAATCCACGATGAAAGAGTCGTTCCTCATTTTGTGTCTCTGCCACGCCTCCTCCGCCACCACCTGCAACAACACAACAACACACAACTGTAACACAACAACACAACACACAACACAACACGCCTCCTCCGCCACCACCTGCAACAACACAACAACACACAACTGTAACACAACAACACAACACACAACACAACACGCCTCCTCCGCCACCACCTACAACAACACAACAACAAAATGAACACAACTAAACAACCACGTAACACCACAACATGAGGGATTCACACGTGTCTGATTTGAGATTTCGTTGAATTAGTCAAAGGTTTGATGAAAAACTCTGACCTGAGCACAAGAACATTTCAGCTACATGTTTATGCTGTTTTAATGATTTATTTATTTATTTATTCACTTGTTGCCTTCAGGATGAATAAAGTTTCTATCCAACACTGAAATAAAACAAAAAAACAAACAAAACACATCGACACAAAAAGCCCTTGAGCCAAACTGATACGACTGAAAGTGTGGAAAGATTTCAGCTCACATAAGTGTTTTCTCCTCCGATTTATCCGTTCTTTTGTTTTCCTTTCTGAGGTCAGAGGTCAGAGGGTCAGAGGTCAGTTCTCACCTCGTCCAGGCGTCCGTCCGAGTCCACGGTCTCGGTGTACGGTTTGTTCTGGATCCGGTTCAGATCCTCGTGGAGTCCGTCCAACAGGAACGCCATGAACTCCTGAGCGTCGTGCTGCGCGTAACCCGTGAACTGACTCGCTTTGCTCGCCACGATCGCCTGCACACGGCACACAGGTCAGAGGTCAGGGGTCAACACAGGACAACAGAGGTCAGGGGTCAGAAGAGAGGGATCTTTTTTCTTTATATATATATATTTTCATCTTATTTATTATTTTTAATGACATAGCAAATAAATTACCAGACCAAAAAAAGCCATATCAAAACAATATCCAAAGACACATTGCAACTTAGTGTAATAAATAAACCAAGACAAAAATAATGGAGCAAATCCTGTAGATATTATGCATACTGTAAAATAGAAAACTTAAATACAGTGAAAACGTTTGGAAGATTTGATAGCTTTTTTGTGGTCTATTTTGTTCAATATATTTATTTATTTATTATTATTATTATTTTTTTAATTTATTTATTTATTTATTAATCAATGCTGGCAATACAAAATATCTTATGTCAACAATGCAAATGTATGACTGAGCATGTACATTTCATTTCATTTTTTTTTTTTACAATAATAATAAAATAAATAAAATAAAACTATAAAACAAATACACACAATACAATGTTAATACAAGAAAATACAATGCAAGAGGTCTTATGCATCTGACTGCGTCAAATCATTTATTATAACGGCTTGTTTAGATTTAATGTGATGTAAGGATCTAAAAACTAAACTGCGAACAAATGTTCAACTGTTTCTATTTCATTGTTACAAAATGTGCAGGTTTTGGACTCCATATTAAAAAGTTTTTTCAAGAATTCATTACAGGGGTAAATATCATTTAAAATTTTAAAGTGAGTTTCTTTGGCTTTAGGGGAGATTGGAAATGAGAGATAATTTGTTCTAATTTTTTAATGCTATTGACTGGAAAGTCTTTAAGTACATGAGTTCTTTTTAATGGGAGAGGACACAGTTTGTTAGTAATAATGTTCCTTATTACTTTATTTGAGCAGTTTTTGTCTTTAAATTCAAATTCATCTATGGTGAGTAAAGGGAATTGTGGTGTAATTTTATCATATCTCAACATGCCACCAACTAGATTTAATAATTCTAATGGAATCGCTTTGATGACTGTATTATATTGCCGTTTTGAGCATTGTAAATCATATTTCTTCATAAGATTATCAGAGTCCATAAGATACAGTGTTATATAATCTTGATACTTAGTGAGTGTGATGTGGAGGTGGTACCTTGAGTTTTGACGGTTGGAAGGCGTGGTGCGTCCCCTTCCACAGCGCTCGGAGCAGGACGGCGAACCCGATGGCGAGACGTCCCCCCGTCCCCAGAGGATTATTACAGTTTATCTCCGACTCAAACGCTCGGTCTGGAAACAAACAACAACATTTATGCTCCTTTTTGTACAATAAACCCGAGTGCAGAACGTTTAAGATCAGTCTCGCTGCAGGAGGAACAGAAGTCACATGATGCATTGTTCTTATGTGGTGCTTTTTATGACCCTCCAGTGTGAGAAGAAAATTCAGTTTGTCGACTGGATAAAAGTTTAGTTTGGCTGAAGATGTTTCTCAGTTCATCCAAGATGCTTTTTCAGTTCTGTCAGACTCTGGTGACTCTTCCTTACATCTGCAGGAGGAGCTAACTACACTGAAACTCCTCTGGAACTAACACACACTTGTTTACAGTTTGTTTGTTAGTTGGGTCTGTTGACCTGTACAGGGTGTGGGTCTAATGAACAGAACAATTCATGGTCATAATGGAGCTTCCACACCTCTGGTCCTGACCTGACTCCACCTGTTCTTCTTGTTTGTTTTGTTGGAGGTTTGAGGATGGACGTGTAAACAGGAGACAGATGGAGTCTGAGTCCATTTCTGTTTAGAGAAGGATTCTCTTTGTTAATAAAAATGGTTTCTTTCACTCTCCTCTCAAACCAAGAGATGAACATCAGACTGAGGTCCTGTGTTGTTCTCTCGTCTGTGTTGGTTCTTGTGAAGTGTCTGTTTAGTTTCTCCAGTGTAGTGTTCACTGTAGTCTTCACTTCACTGAATGGAGTAGAGCACATTGTTTTGTTTGTGGCTCGGTGTTTTGTCCTTTGGTTTGTCACTCACGACACTCCGGTGTGTGAAGATGTGAGTGTAAATGTGTAAATTTGTCAGGAGTATTGGACTGTACAGTAAAAGTCCCCCCCGTGGTGTTACAGTAAAAGTAATCCCCCCCCCGTGGTGTTACCGTGAAAGTAGTCCCTGAGCTCTCTGGTGTTGGACAGACTCTGGATGACGCTGTTCATGAAGCAGGTGTTGCCGAGGTTGACGAGTCCAGTGAATCCGGGCAGACAGACCTTCCTCTCCTCCTCTTCCTCTCGAGCCTCGCTGACGGCCGGAGCGTGGGACATGGGCTGGACCATGCACGTGGGCTTGGGCTAAACACAACAGACTCAGGTCAACTCTGGAACTGAGCGCAGGAGACTTTACCATTTGATCTGAATGTGTTTTCTTATTTTAAAGAGAGTTGGTTCAAACATGGACACCAGGCTTTATAATCCGTGTGTCATTCATTCATTTGTTTTTCAATATAAAACCAAAAATAAGAAAACGAAAAAACAACAGTTTTCTTCGTTATTTGTCTCCAAAACCAAAATGAAAAAAAGGATAACGATTCATTTTTTCAGTTTTTGATTTTGTGTTTAAATGATGAATGGAAAAAACAGATAACGGCCGTTTCCCGTTTACGTAACTTCAGTGACTGCGATGCCGAACTTTTGCACCGCGTACGGACTGAACCAGGACTGAACCAGGACTGATCCAGAACTGATCCAGGTCCAGGACCAGAGCAGACTCCGAGCTTTGACTCCAAGCCTCTGCAGGGTCCGAGCCCCAGCTTCGAGTTGCGGCCCTGCCGTGGGCTCTGATGGACCGTGACTGATGGACCAGACTGGAGACCGTGACCTCCAGTCTGGTCCCAGTCTGATCCCAGTCTGGTCCCAGTCTGGTCCCGGCCTGATGGTGCTTTCACACAGACAGTAGTTGGTACGCACCAAACGGTCCAAACGGACAGCAGGTCCAAACAATCTATTCCAACCACCGGGAGCAGCTCCGGTTCTGTCCGGGCTCAGATGAGCTGGAGCAGGGAGTGATGTCAGGAGCCTCGGCCTGAGAAGTGCTTTAACCGGGGAAGAACCAAACGGAGGACAAATGGTCAAAAACCAACCAAACTGGATTCACGCTTTTGTCCAGATGCTGCACCACCTCAGAACCAGCCGTGGTTCTTGAGCGCGGAGGACTGGAGCAGCCCGTCCGAACCTGTAGTCCACAGAACATTCTCGTTTTACCCGCACGGAACCAGCGCAAAGAGGAACCACTCGGACCGCTGGTCTCGGTCTCAGTCCCACTCTGGTCCTGGTCTGGTCCCGGTCTCAGTCCCGGTCTGGTCCTGGTCTGGTCCCGGTCTGGTCCCGGTCTCAGTCCCCGGTCTGGTTCCAGTCTAGTCCTGGACCTGGATCAGTCCTGGTTCAGTCCGTAATGCAGTGCAAACGGCATCGCAGTCACGGAACTCACATAAACGGGAAACGGCCGTTATCTGTTTGTTCCATTTTTCATTTAAACACAAAATCAAAAACTGAAAAAATGAATCGTTATCTGTTTTTTCATTTTGGTTTTAGAGACAAATAATGAAGAAAACTGTTGTTTTTTCATTTTCTTATTTTTGGTTTTATATTGAAAAACGAATGAAGGAATGATACACAGATTCTTTATGTGTGTGTATGAAATGTGTTTGTTCTTCATGTGCTCGTCTGTTTTCTTCAGTGTGTGTAAGGTGTGTGTGATGTGAAGAGTGTTGATATCTTCATTAGTAGATGTTCTATCTGTGTGTTCTCCTCACCGTGGTGACCGGCTGCTCGCTCTTCAGGGACACGTGTTCGGAGCGAGGAGCCACAGAGTCCAGGCCGCTCTCCTCCACTCGCGCCGGAGCTTTGGGGGTTTTGGGTTTGTCTTCGACCCCGCGGGGAGGCTCCTCTGAGGGGGGCAGGCTGTGCTGGCTGCTGCCCGGCTGACTCTTCTCCAAACACGCAGGACCAGAGGGCACAGCCACCTTTGCACCCCCCACTGCACCTTCAACAGGGGACACACATGCCTGTGCTTAGAAAACACAGGAGCATTTCACCGAAAACACACAGAGGAACTACACCAGGTCTGAGTTCATCTGAAACAACCTGAACCCCAAAACACAGCAAATATATAAATATTAGGGACGGGCATTCGACGAAATTTTCTTAATCGATCGTCGGAAGAATTAACGATCGATTATCGATTAATCATTAACGTTTTTATATTAAAGTGATCATCATTATTATTACTATCTGCACTAATCTGCATAAATAAATTCAACTTTACGACATATAAACATAACGACTCTAGATCCACATCAGCTGTTTGACATTATAATGTGTTTAATTCAGTTTTGTTCAAATCTCACAGAAACAAAACTTAAAACCACATCACTAATTTACATAAACTAAGTGAAGATAAAACTCCAGCTCTTGTGTCGCTGATGTGGTTCAACTTGTGTTGGATTAAAAGACATGACTCAGGTGAATACAGGTCAGTGTGACCAGATTTGTGTTTGTCAAAACCAGGACAGCGTACGGGGGGAGGGGGGCGGGGCCTCGTCATCCACATTGAGCGACTCTCACCTGGAAAAACTTTTTCCCACTGGACACAGAAACATATGTGCTGCTTTATCCACTGTGCACATGGACTCACACTTGTCCCAACGCAACGGAAAGTGTGGAATTTCTTCTACAAATCCTGGTTAAATCCACATTTGTGCTTCGGTTCGTTACAGACTGACCCACTGTTTGTGTCTCGCTCCTTCTGATGCAGAGACACATGTACACACCTGTTTGGTCACGACACACAAACATACATTCAGTTTGTCCATTAAAATTAACGTAATAGATGAAATTCTTAATGATCAATTATTGATTAATCGATTAATCATGCCCAGCCCTAATAAATATACGACCCTTTAACCTTCAGACCAAAACTATGTGAGTGAAGAAGCTTCTTAAAGTGACTACTTGGGGTAGAAAAACTCTGCAGCTGATCATTATTTGGTTAAAGAACATTTTGTAAAGCAGCCGAGTCTGTATCCAAATATAAAATGCTTTTATTCAAAATTCAACTCATCCTTGTGAAGAAGTGGGAGCAGTGACTGTAGTTTCAGCTCTCCAACTGCTGCTGTTGTGTCCTTAGGCAATACACTTAACTCACTGTGCCTAGAATGAACAGGACGTGTGATGGAAGGAAGCCTCAAGTTCATCTTTAGTGTTTTCATCAGTTAGGAGGCTGGAGATCCCAGTTTGGTAACATCAGGTGAAATAAGGTTTCAGCAGTGGCTCTAAAGACCCCACAGTGACCCCGGCGTGACCCCAGTGTGACCCCCAGTGTGACCCCCAGTGTGACCCCCAGTGTGACCCCGTGTGACCCCGTGTGACCCCAGTGTGACCCCCAGTGTGACCCCCAGTGTGACCCCGTGTGACCCCCAGTGTGACCCCAGTGTGACCCCCAGTGTGACCCCCAGGTGACCCCGGCGTGACCCCCAGCGTGACCCCCAGCGTGACCCCCAGTGTGACCCCCGGTGTGACCCCCGTGTGACCCCCGGTGTGACCCCCAGTGTGACCCCCAGTGTGATCCCCGGTGTGATCCCCAGTGTGACCCCGGTGTGACCCCGGTGTGACCCCGTGTGACCCCCAGTGTGACCCCGTGTGACCCCGGTGACCCCAGTGTGACCCCGTGTGACCCCGTGTGACCCCGGTGTGACCCCCAGTGTGACCCCAGTGTGACCCCAGTGTGACCCCAGTGTGACCCCCAGTGTGACCCCAGTGTGACCCCCAGTGTGACCCCCGGTGTGACCCCGGTGTGACCCCCAGTGTGACCCCCGGTGTGACCCCGGTGTGACCCCGGTGTGACCCCGGTGTGACCCCGGTGTGGTCAGCAGGAGCGTAGCAGCAGACCTTGTGTGGTGGGAGCCTCCAGTCCTCCCCAGCGCTGACTGTGTCTCTTCTTCAGAGCGATGTCCAGACGAGACGGAGTGAACGAGTACGTGCACTGCTCCGGCTCGATCAGGTTCCTGCACAAACGCACCAGGGAAACAAATTAACCTACAATTTACCTCTGTGGGGCATTAAAGAGGAGTATTTACCTCTGTGGGGCATTAAAGAGGAGTATTTACCTCTGTGGGGCATTAAAGAGGAGTATTTACCTCTGTGGGGCATTAAAGAGGAGTATTTACCTCTGTGGGGCATTAAAGAGGAGTATTTACCTCTGTGGGGCATTAAAGAGGAGTATTTACCTCTGTGGGGCATTAAAGAGGAGTATTTACCTCTGTGGGGTTTTAACTGTAACATATTTAAATCAGCATGTTCATGCTGTTGTTTTGAAAATGTTATATTTTAACAAAAAACAACATGTTCACATGTTTTATAAGTTTTGTTTTTGTCGCTCTGAGTCTCCCCTCCCTTTGCTCCCTGCACTAAGTCCCTCCCCCTTCAGAGTGTCACACTAATGAAACTCCTGCACAAACATCAGGTTTGTCCAGTGTCTGTTCAGTTTTGTGTCGTGTTTTGTGTTTTATTTATTTATTTAACCAGGAAAAAGTCTCATTGAGATTAAAAATCTCTTTTTCAAGAGCGTCCTGAACAAGAGGCCACAAAACAGTTTCAAAACATATAAAAACAAACATACAAAACATTCAGTAACACAGAACACTCAACACAAATTTAAAGATCATTAAAACAATGACACCCAGAGGATTCCAGATCTCTGTTTTTTAAAATCTGTTTAAAAGAGTCTAAGGAGACCAGCTCCTTTAACTTCAGATCATTTTGTAAAAAGTTTCATGCCGAAGGAGCATAAAACTGAAAAGCTTCTTGCCAAACTCAGACTTCACTCTGGGAACTGACAATAAAAACAAATCGTGTGATCGCAGACTGTTGGCCCCAGAACTTTTCTGAACTACATACTTATGCAGATAAGACGGGAGCAGACCAAGAAAACATTTATAGACCATCAGATACAAGTGTCTGAGCCTCCGTGTGGCTCGGGAAGTCCAGCCCACATGTGCAGACAGAACACAGAGGTGTGTGAGCTCTGAGACCAGTGAGAAACCACAGAGCTCCAGGGTGAAGTGTGTCCAGAGTCACAGACTCTGAGCAGAAGCGTTCATATAAACCACATCACCACAGTCCAACAGCCACATAAATGTGACTTCTACAAGTCTCTTCCGAGCCTCAAATGAAAGACAGGGCCTAATCCTACAAAAGAAGCCTAATTTCACTCTCAGTTTTTGAGATAATTGCTGTAAGTGAAATGTGAGTGAAAGTTTTTATGGAGGTTTGTCATGTGGGAGCATGGGGCGGAGCCTCGTACAGACTCGTACTGTTAACCGTAAGGGAGAGATCACTAGATTACTCAGACATGCATGCCTGACTGTAGAACCTCTTCAGACAGGTTTGTGATGAAGAGTTTGCAGAACAGCAGCACTTTAACCCCACGTCCTGAGCTCCTGTCGTACCTGAGTTTGACCTGCCACCTGAACACGGTGTTGGGGCCACAGCCCGAGTGAAGACGCAGGAAGTTTGAGTCACTGAAAAAGAAAAAAAAACAGAACAAACATCGACATCAGGAAGAGACACAACTACAGAAGGATCTTTTATTCTGTCACATGCTCTGAGCAGGCCTGTAACGATAACACATTTTGCTGGACGATTAATTGACCAAGAATTAATTGCGATAAACAATAATATTGACATTTTGAGACCAATTTCAACTAATATAATGACCATGGAATAAAAATGCAAATACATCCTCTACGCGCGCATCCGCTCTGCTGATAAACACGGCGCCTGTTGGTTCAAGCGTCATTCACTTGTTAAACGAGAAGAGTCAGAGAGCGACAGAAGCGTCTAACATTTAGTCTCTTTGAGAGGGAGAAAGAGCGAGAGAGAGCGAGGAAAACAAACAAGCTGCAAATAGAATTTATCGTGGCTGGAAAAGTTATCGAGCTTGTTGAAAGTTATTGTACGATTAATTGATTTATTGATCGTTACAGGCCTAGCTCTGAGTATGGATTATTCAGGTCATAATCCTCCCTCCTCCTCTCTCCTTTCTCCTCCTCTCTCCTCCCTCCCTCCTCCCTCCCTCCCTCCTCCTCCCTCCTCCTCCCTCCCTCCCTCCCTCCTCCTCCCTCCTCTCCCTCCTCCTCTCCCTCCTCCCTCCCTCCCTCCCTCCTCCCTTCCTCCTCCCTCCCTCCTCCTCCCTCCCTCCCTCCTCCCTCCCTCCTCCTCCTCCTCCTCCTCCTCCTCCCTCCCTCCCTTCCTCCCTCCCTCCTCCTCCCTCCTCCTCCTCCCTCCCTCCCTCCCTCCCTCCCTCCCTCCTCCCTCCTCGGAGTATTACCTGGTCTGAAAGATGAGGGTGAAGTCTTGTTCTCTGAAGATGACCCTGGCAGACTCTCGGCACACTCCTTTAACGTAAACGTTCACCACCATCAGGTCGGTGCCTTTCTCGTACGAGTCGTTCTTCACCAGCTGCAGCGTCACCATCTGCTCCGGCGCTGAAACACCACAGGGGGCGCCGTTTACTCCAGAGTTCACATAAACACTGGTAGAAACTAGGGGTGTGCAAAAATATTGAAATATCGATATATCGTATCGTTTAATGTAATGATACAGTATTGATATCGTGGGCTGCTGTATCGATATATCACATATTGAGTATTTTTGGTGTATTTTACTAAATTATTTTGTTACAGAGCTACAGTTTTGTTGTTTAGTAGAAGGAAACTCATTCACACAGTAAAAAGGTTCGTTAAAATGAAAATTAAGAACATTTGACTTTATTTGAGTCGACTCCACCGGTGGAATAAGTGTTTTTCTAAATTCAATTTCATTTCTTCTTTTAAGGGTTGGTGTTTTTCTTTTTTTAAGTGTAGCAAGTTGTATTTTCATATTTTAAGAACAAAAAATCGTATTCCTCTGACAGATCATTTAACTTGTCAAGTGGAATTTACTCAAATCATGATCAAACTTTCTTAATTCAGGTCATCTTAACTTGGCTAGATTTAATTTTTTGCAGTGCACGCGACACATTTGACATTTTCACAGTTTTGAGGATTAAAATGTTTTTGTTTCATATGAACTTTGCACAAAAAGAAGTGGTTTAACAAAGACTTTTAGTATCACAGACATGATTTAGCCTTTATTTTTATTGAATGGTATCGAATCAATTTGAAATACATCGTATCATGGCCTATGTATCGAGGTATGTATCGTATCGGCAACTTCTTAATGATACCAGCCCTGGTAGAGACGCTGGTACCTTCTTGTCGGAGCGCGTCAGCCGGGGGCTCCTCCTTTTTGCACTGGTCGCTCTTCTCCTCCTCCTCCTCGCCGTCTCCTCTGTCCTGTGTGACCTCTGACCCCTGCTCTCTGTCGGGCCCCTGCTGCTCGGCGCCGAGAGCTTCCGTTTGCACGTCGCCCCCTGGAGGTGACGGGGAGGTCCTCATCTCCAGGTCCTGGTTTGGAGCGTCTGATCCCTGTGAACACAAACACAGAAAAGTCCAAACGGTTTATTTCTAGAGGTGGGTTTAGGTTTTTGCCAAACGCTTCAGGCTCCTGGAAACGTGCTCGTTAAATCCATTTAGAATTTTGCTCGAGTTTTCAGACTAACTTAAACATTGTACGGAGGATTTTAATTAAAACAATTGTAGGAGCTTCATAAAATACATATGTTTGGTGCCATATGAAAGGGCTTTTTCTGGTCTTTCAAACAAAAATGATTCAAATTTTTTTTATCACTACCCACATGCCAGAAATGACATGTGAAAATCGGACCATGTTACATTTTCTTGTTTTTAACAGGAGCCTCAGACATAAAGTATTTGAAATGTTCAACATTTGGAGATTTCTTTTAACAGTCCTAGTACAAATCTTGATTCTCAAAAAAATTTAAGGGTCTCCGACACCAAGTTTTATCATTTTTAAGTTCATATAAAATGACAATGAGTTGAGAAACCAAACTTTCGATAGATGTTATTTGAACACAAAGTAGAGAAGAAGTCTACAAAATTTCAGTCCTGTATGTGTGATACTTACGGAGATATCGACCTTTGAAAACGGCCAAGAAAAAATGTTGCGATTTTGGGCCTGTCAATGGACACATTCTCCCCTCACTAAATGAGCTCCAAGTTGAAAACTATTGATTGAAAATCACTAAAATTTCACAGAGTTGGTACATGAGAGTTTGGGACCAGCTGGTAAGTTTTTCAAAATTTTTTAAAAACATGATGCGTGAGATTTTCTGGAAATTTGATGAGATGGCGTGGAATGACCCCAATGAAAGTTTAAAATACCATTACAGAGACGGAGCAGCTTTGGAATTATGATGACCAAAAAAAAAAAAAAAAAAAAAGAATGAAAATCTATCAACTGTGGATGTGTTGCGGCCAGATAAACATCAGCCAATAGAAAACGACGCTCCCTCATTTTCTATTGGCTGTTAGGTTGTCAATCAAACTCTCTGACTCTCCTTATTAAGCCATTGATGTTCATTTTGTCTTCTTATAGACTTTAACTTCTTGGGTTCTTTTTAAAGACAATGCAGTAAAGTGTATTTACCTTGTTGACATGTTTCGGCTGCTGCATCTTCAGAACTGTCACCGGTGTTGGTGGTGACGTGTCGTATATCAGCTGTTGTTACTTCCTGTAGGCGTGGTCAGACCTGATGGACCTGGCAGGTCGCTCAGACTGACCACGCCTCCCGTCGCCCGGTGTCTCTGGAGGAGGGTGTCCCAGGTGTGTGAAAGGAGGAACGCTCCGCCGACGGGGCTCGGGTCATTGGATCGGAAAACAACAAGTTCAAACGCTGGATCAAGGAGGCCATTGAAATCAGGAAACGAGGCACGGAGCATTAACCGTGATGACGGAGCTGATATACGACACGTCACCACCAACACCAGGGACAGTTCTGAAGATGCAGCAGCCGAAACATGTCAACAAGGTAAATACACTTTACTGCATTGTCTTTAAAAAGAACCCAAGAAGTTAAAATCTCTGACTCTCCATCGCGGATTTCGTGGTTTATGCAGCGGTTCTTTGAGGCTTTTTCTAACTGTCGCTTCCTCGCAATTCTCACAAACTTTGTTGCGATGGCTGACGAGAATCCACGACCAGTTCGCCGCAAAAGAAAGTCGGTTTTTGAGGTCGCTGAAAGAAGATGAGAAAAGGAGCGAAGACAAACTGAGGTGATTCTTGGAGATCTCTTCCAGCGATGGCGCGAATGACGCAGACGAAGGGTCTAAAAACTGACACGTCGGTCGATAAATTATTTCTAGACAGGAAACTTAAACAGTAATTCTGAACGAGCACTGGATGTAAACAAGCGTGATTTCTAGAGTAAAGAGGCGGGAGGAGGAGGTGTTTCTACTGATGGAGCTGTGGAGGAGGAAGGTGGAGTCACGTACGCACAACATTTGAAAAAGGACTGTCGCTGTATTTTACTTCCCTTAAAAAATCCTCTGTACAACCTTTAAAACTTAGTTTGCAGTGTTTGTTCTTGTGTCACTGTGTCTCCATGGAAACTGCTGAAGATTCTGCCACACACATACATGCAGAACATACAGGGGGTGATACTCTGAGGTACAGGCCTCGACGACCGTAGTGTAGCGCTGTGAGGTGCATGGGTCACACACAGGGTAAATATCGCCCTCTGCAGGTCCCTCCACACACTACAGCCTCTGATCCAAACACTTTCACCTCAGACTGAACTAGGACTGCGCAAAAATACTGAAATATCCATATATCGTATCCATATATCGTATGATACTGTGTCGATATCATGAGCTGTTGTATCGATATATATTGCCAAGAGTATCTGTATTGAAATTATTTTGTGTAAGAGCTACAGTTGTGTTGACAGATTTGTTTTTGAGTAAAATGGGTGATTTTCACTTTGCACAAACTCAGTGGACTTTTAGTATCACAGCCACGATTTAACTTTAGTTTTTCACTGAACTGTATCGAATCGATTTGAAATGTATCAAATCGAAAGTGCACTGTATCGAAAAACATATCGTGGCCTATGCAAATCAGTTGGTAGAGCGTTCGTCCACTGATCTGAAGACTCACGGTTCCAATCCCACTCAACATCACAATATCGTTGTCAGATGCAATGACCCACAGGTTGACTGGTGCAATTCCAGCTCCCACAGATGAATGCTGTCGTTGTGTCCTTGGGCAAGACACTTAGCCCACCTGTATGAATGTGTGTGGTTCCTTGTTGTAAAGCGGTTTGAGAGCTATAGAAAAATGTGACCATGTATCGAGGTGAGTATCGTATCAGAAACTCGTTAATAGGGCTGGGCATTCGATGAAATTTTCTTAATCGATCGTTGGAAGAATTAACGATCGATTATCGATTAATCATTAACGTTTTTATATTAAAGTGATCATCATTATTATTATTATCTGCACTAATCTGCATAAATAAATTCAACTTTACGACATATAAACATAACGACTCTAGATCCACATCAGCTGTTTGACATTATAATGTGTTTAATTCAGTTTTGTTCAAATCTCACAGAAACAAAACTTAAAACCACATCACTAATTTACATAAACTAAGTGAAGATAAAACTCCAGCTCTTGTGTCGCTGATGTGGTTCAACTTGTGTTGGATTAAAAGACATGACTCAGGTGAATACAGGTCAGTGTGACCAGATTTGTGTTTGTCAAAACCAGGACAGCGTACGGGGGGAGGGGGGCGGGGCCTCGTCATCCACATTGAGCGACTCTCACCTGGAAAAACTTTTTCCCACTGGACACAGAAACATATGTGCTGCTTTATCCACTGTGCACATGGACTCACACTTGTCCCAACGCAACGGAAAGTGTGGAATTTCTTCTACAAATCCTGGTTAAATCCACATTTGTGCTTCGGTTCGTTACAGACTGACCCACTGTTTGTGTCTCGCTCCTTCTGATGCAGAGACACATGTACACACCTGTTTGGTCACGACACACAAACATACATTCAGTTTGTCGATAAAAATTTATGTTATCGATGAAATTCTTAATGATCAATTATCGATTAATCGAATAATCATGCCCATCCCTACTCGTTAACGATACTCAGCTCAAGACTGAACCTCCTGAGGTCGGCACAACACTGTTTAAAATTGTAATAAAGCTCCAGATGGAAGATTTAAAGTGAAGAGGACGAGAGAAACAAACAACAGACGCTGCAGTGAAGAAACAAACGATAAAACCAGACAATAAAAGAATTGAGTCCGAGTTGAGTCTGAGGACGTGACTAAGATGATCTGTGGAGTTCAGCTACAGCAGTGACACTGACCTGAGTGCTGCTGTGGGAGGAGTCTTCAGGCAGAGCCGCGTGTTCCTCCTGCATGTGCGTGCTCCGTCCAGCGGGCAGGTGCGGTGGCAGGTGCGGTGGCAGGTGCGGCGGCAGGTGCGGCGGCAGGTGCGGCGGGGGGGCAGGGGCCTCTGTGGATTCCATTGACCCTGTGAGCTGCTCTGACACAGTCTTATTATCAGTGTTCGTCCTGCTGGTCTCTGTGGAGTCTGCTCTGGGCTGAGGGACACGTTTACGGTCAGACCGACTGCTGCTCCTCTGCTCCCCGGGGCGGCTCTGGTTCTGTTGGGTCTGGTTGGGTCTGGTTCTGTTGGGTCTGGTTCTGTTGGGTCTGGTTCTGTTGGGTCTGGTTCTGTTGGGTCTGGTTGGGAGGAGGAGATAAGGACTGGACTTTAGCCTGAGACACTTTATTCTTCTCTGAGGGGCCAGTGGACTCAGGCTTCTTCAGAACACCGGTCTGGTTCTGTTGGGTCTGGTTCTGTTGGGTCTGGTTCTGTTGGGTCTGGTTCTGTTTGGTCTGGTTCTGTTGGGTCTGGTTGAGGGAAGTAGAGGAGGACTGGACTTTGGCCTGGGAGACTTTGTTCTTCTCTGAGGGCCCAGTGGACTCAGGCTTGTGCAGGGCCTCCTTCTTTTTATTGGACTGAAACATCAACAGAGAACAGATGTCAGTGTAGGTTCTAGAGCAGATGTTTGGTGTCCTGGTGCAGATGTTGGGTGTTCTGGTGCAGATGTTGGGTGTTCTGGTGCAGATGTTGGGTGTTCTGGTGCAGATGTTGGGTGTTCTGGTGCAGATGTTGGGTGTTGCAGATGTTCTGGTGCAGATGTTTGGTGTTCTGGTGCAGATGTTTGGTGTTCTGATGTTCTGGTGCAGATGTTTGGTGTTCTAGAGCAGATGTTTGTACCATGAGTGAGGGCCAGATGTGGAAGGGGATCTTCTTGTGCAGGACGAGGTGCAGGAGTCCGGTCTTCTCTTTGTACTGGACTCTGCTGCACGAAGCTTCAATCTCCTCCTGCAGGAGGCAGCTCCACTCACGCCCATCTGAAACACAACAGGACAGAGTGACACAAGGAACCAAGGACATAAGGGTATAAGGACACAAGGACGCAAGGACATAAGGACATAAGGGTGCAAGGACGCAAGGACACAAGGACACAAAGACGCAAGGACACAAGAACATCAGGGCGCAAGGACACAAGCCCGCAAGGACACAAGGACATAAGGGCGCAAGGACACAAGGACGCAAGGACATAAGGGCGCAAGGACAAGGACATAAGGGCACAAGGACACAAAGACATAAGGGCGCAAGGATGCAAGGACGCAAGGACATAAGGGCGCAAGGATGCAAGGACGCAAGCACACAAGGACACAATTGCACAAGGGCACAAGGACAGAAGGGCACGAGGGCACAAGGACAAGAGGGCACAAGGACACCAAGGACACAAGGGCACAGGGCACAGGGACAGGTGTAGTAAGATTGTATTGCACTAATGTAACCAGGGTAAAGTTCAATTCCCTTATCCAGATCCAACCCAGGTTTTCCCCTCTCCACATGATTTGTCACCACCCATCACACCGCCCATTTCACCAATTATCCAATCACACATCCCCAGTCAGAGTATATAAGGTCCTGACTTCTCTCTCCTCAGTTGTGTGGGAGAGGAGCCAGGGGACAGAGCTTGAAGGTCAGTACATCTACACTGTTTCATTTCAAATTCTCATGTTCCCATTTTTTAACTTCACCATTCACATCTTTTAGAACCAGACCCGTTATGCAACATTGTCACGTGTGCTTTCAATACACTAAAACACTACTGAACTGGTAAGTTAGAAGTGAACACTATTTATTGATTTATTTAATGGCTTTTTGTTGTTGTGGCTTTGTATGCTAGTGCTAATGCTAGAGCTAGCATGCTAATGCTAAGGTCAGCCATTTTGTCAGGGCCCTATGTCTTGCTTTATGTAGCATATGTCCATGTTAGCTTAGCATTAGCATGCTAACAGCTAGCATGCTAATGCTAACATGTACTCCACATGATTAGTTGTATCTTGTAACTGATTCACTTATGAACTCTTGTAATGTTAATGTCAATGCTAATGCTAACTGTAAATATGTTCTAAGAGGCCTTTTGTTAATGTGCACACAGGCCTGGTGCCCAAACTTGGGTTCAAATTGATGGCGAGCTAGGAACTGTCCTTTTGAGAGCTTCAGTCTGGTAGGAGGCTAATCGCCTGTCGTCTGTCTCCACCTACTCCAGCTGCCTCCACTACATAACCATTCAATCAACCGCGCTTTATGGACATCATACAACCTCAAATAATAATACTGGACTTTAAAGTAGTTTGGACTCTGTTTACACCCTGGGCAACCAGACCCAGTTCGCAAGGACATTTAACTGAATTGTTTGATTTTTGTTGCTGCAGCTGTTGTATATTTTCTTGTCACTTTCTTCCTGTATAATACACTTTATTAATTGTCAACTAATCCCATGTCTCAATTTACTGCCCCTGCCCTCCAGTAGCCTTACTTAGAATCTTCTGATCATTCAACTTTGTGTTATGACTATTATGTGTAATTAGCAGTTATTACACGGTCATAACACAGCTACTACATGGTTATTACAGTTACAATCATTACACATTCGTTACACTTTTATTACCTAATTAATAAGCAAACACTTGTTACACTAAGGTTAGGGTTCAGTTGCAGTACAGTTGAAGTATAATTGTAGTAAACATGTTGTACATGTGTGGTGTAGTACAGTACAGGTGTGGTACTGACCGGGGAAGCTGACGAGAGCGTGTGTGTCGCTGAAGCTGCTGCTCACGTCGTCGGCGCTCTGGACTCCGTCTCCACAACGAAGACGCACAATCACATCACTGGCATTCTGCTTCCAGTCCACAAACACATCTGCAACAACAACAACACAACAGGTCAGTCACAAACACATCTATAAATATTTATAAAGTTTTGTCATAACTGTACAGAAACGACCACATTATTTTAGATTTTTTAAACTATGTAATAAACAGGTTTTGGTTAATGTAAGTTTTTTCTTCTTCTTCCAGCTCCTTTTCGAGAAATGTTTTTTTCTGTTGTTTATAGTGTGTATGTAGTGTGTGTACGATTATTATTTGTCTCTTGGCACAAACTCAAAAAAGCTAAGAAAAAATTGAATCTTATCAGTCAAAATCTCCATGGAAACAAAACCACCGGGTTAAACGCTGCAGGGATATGAGGAGAAAGGAAGACTAATCTAGAACTTACAAAGCTCGTTACAATCAGAAAGAAATCCAAAACAAACATACAACAGCAGATCTCCACGTCAAACAAACACACACACACACACAGAGCACAGTGTTTAAACAGGCTGCACCATCAGGAATCATGTCGGAGCGAGGCCGCAGGTTCGTCTGTGAAAAGTCTGCGTGAGGAAATAAAGTGACGTCCTCATGGTGAAGAGCTCCGAGTAAAATCACAGTAAACTCCACTGGACTCAGCTCCTCTCAGACTGAACGCCTGAAAGGTCAGAGAAAACGATCCTCTGCAGCTGGTCCCGAACACACACACACAAACACACACACAGACACACACAGAGACACACACAGGACATACACTTCAAAATAATGCCGTGCGTTCAGCTCTCACAGACTCGACACAGAGGAGATTGTGTTTGTGGTTTGTTTGGGATTTTAAACATGTTTTAGTTGCCTCTGTTTTCATATTTCACACATTATTATAACTCAAAAAACTTAAAAAAAAAAGAACTGTTTGGGAAAGTGACCTTCACACAATAAACTTGTGTTTGCCGCCCTCTGCTGGTCACAGTGGAGCTTAACCAACCACGCAAATATTCTGTGTAAGATTTTGATTTCAATTTTTAAATTTGTCTTCAAGTTACAAAAACACTGGACAAAATCTCCCATGAGTTTGTGGTTTCTCCAGGTTCAGGTGTGATCGTCTTTAAAACTGTAAGAGTTTGTTTAAATCTTTTAATGTCGGGACTTTCTGAGGGGAGGAGAGACTCAGGACTGTCTTCAGTAAAAATCGTGTTTATTTGAGTGGATTGGAGCAGATGAGCTGTTCATTTTGTTTATTTACAGTTTAATTTTGTGACTAAACATTGATCCAAATAATAAATCTTCTGGGATTTGAATCAGATGTGTTTCTTGGATGATGAGTTTGTAAATATTCTGTTTTTTGAAAAAGTGAAAAATGAATTTGAAATGTTTTTCTTGGTTCCAAAGAGGCTTCAGTGTTTCTGGATTTAATTATTAGTTACAAACATTTCTGCACATTTAGTCAGAGCTTCTGTTCTGTTCTTAGTCGTCTGTTTAGTTTTTTTCTGTGCAGTAATTCTGTTGAGGAAAACTATGAGGAAATAGGCCTGAGTATCGGTGACACATAAACGAGTCATTGAAAGGTGAGACCAGCTGAGGAGGGACGAGCAGGAAACGAGACACGCCTCTCCACACTCTGACTGCACAAACGCTCAGCAGACACACGGGCCACAAAAGCACAGGAGGAGGTTTACAGGGAGGAGACAGAGCAGAGGTAAAGTTACACTAAAGACCAGAACAAAGGTCAGACTCAGAGGAAGAAACACACAAGCGTCACACGTCTGATCTGAAACTCATCTGTGTCAAAGTCCTCAGAGCTCAGAGACGATCATGTCTGGATCACAGAGAAACCGCTCATCTCCACCTCCACATACACATTATTATGATTATTATTATTATTATTATTAATATTATTAATTTCAGCAGGATGTGAGTTTGCATAAGTTGTCTTATTTGAGTATTTTACATGTTTTATGAGTTTTTCTTCTTGCTCTGAGGACACTCAACTAAACAGATGGATACAGAATTGTGAAAACTCCAGACTTGGACAAAATGCTTTAAACAGACGAGACCTGAGCCCTTTGGTCGACTCTGACTGGACTTTAAACATCATTAGAATTACAAAATAAACATTCTATAATTTTATCTCACACATGGACTAAAGTTGCACTACTTTTATTTTAGGAGTATTTTTTATGACATTTTTTGTTGGGCAGCTTCACTTTTTCATAAACTCTTCTCAGTCTGAGCAGCTCGTCAGAATAATGTTATTTACTGTTTTTATAAAGATATACATTTAATATTCTGCAGAACTGAGTTAAACATTTTGGCCTCCACAATATTTTCTGTTTCTGGAAAAAATAATCCCCTCCCCGATAAAGACCTGCATATAAACCCTGTTTGTGAAAAGCAAAACTAAACGTGTATAACAATCTAAGGTCCTCAGATACACTTCTGAGTCCGACTTTTACCAGAAACACTGATAAATAATAAATGTGATGTGTTTATGACGGTGGATGTTAAGCTGTGGTGACATCATCTGTTTCCTGCAGTGACACAGCGGCGCTCACTGTTTGTGTTTAACACAGGAGACTGTGGACGCTCCTCAGTCGAAAATAAACTGGACTTTATATTTGTACAACAGAAAGTGACTTTGTTACTCTGTGTGATCTTATTTATCATAGATTATTAACTTAAAAAGAGACGGCGCTGGTAAAAAATAACAGTAACATTTATGATCCACAAACTGAATGAAATGATTCAAATTTTAATAATTTGTGCCACTATAATCTGAACAAAATCTATGAGAAACACTCCACACTCAGGCTTCGTTTACATGCTGAGGGTCTGAACAGAAAACACAAAAATGGCGTCGCGTCTTCACTTTTTATTCTGTGTTTAGACGAGTGTTTTCGGAAGGAAATCTGCTGCACACGGTGACGCAAAAGTGTGTGGAATTGGACTGTGTGTGTCAGGGCACTCGGTGATGCTGTGACACTATCACACAACACATGTTTGTTTGTGTGTCCTGTATGTGACATAAACTCGTACACAACCTGAGCACATGTGACCAGAGTTTTGCGTCTTGGTCAGTGTAGACGGAAACACTACGGTGGAGCCTGTTCAACTTTTACAGTCTGGAGGTGGTTTCAGATTTTTGCATTTTTAATCTCCAAAAACACCGTCACGTCTAAACGAAAGACACTTCACATCAAATATTTTGTCGTTTTTACCCCCAAGTGTTTCTCCTGTAAACAGACCCTAATGCTCAAACTCTCACACCCCCTGGTGGTGGACAGTACAGTGTGGCCCCCTGGTGGTGGACAGTACAGTGTGACGCCCCCTGGTGGTGGACAGTACAGTGTGTCGCCCCCTGGTGGTGGACAGTACAGTGTGACGCCCCCTGGTGTGTGGACAGTACAGTGTGACGCCCCCTGGTGGTGGACAGTACAGTGTGACAGCCCCCTGGTGGACAGTACAGTGTGACGCCCCCTGGTGGTGGACAGTACAGTGTGCGCCCCTGGTGGTGGACAGTACAGTGTGTCGCCCCCTGGTGGTGGACAGTACAGTGTGACGCCCCCTGGTGGTGGACAGTACAGTGTAGTGCCCCCTGGTGGTGGACAGTACAGTGTGGCGCCCCTGGTGGTGGACAGTACAGTGTGACGCCCCCTGGTGGTGGACAGTACAGTGTGTCGCCCCTGGTGGTGGACAGTACAGTGTGACGCCCCCTGGTGGTGGACAGTACAGTGTGACGCCCCCTGGTGGTGGACAGTACAGTGTGACGCCCCCTGGTGGTGGACAGTACAGTGTGACGCCCCCTGGTGGTGGACAGTACAGTGTGACGCCCCCTGGTGGTGGACCCCCCTGGTGTGGACAGTACAGTGTGACGCCCCTGGTGGTGGACAGTACAGGTGTGCCCCTGGTGGTGGACAGTGTGACCCCCTGGTGGACAGTACAGTGTGACGCCCCCTGGTGGTGGACAGTACAGTGTAGTGCCCCCTGGTGGTGGACAGTACAGTGTGTCGCCCCTGGTGGTGGACAGTACAGTGTGACGCCCCCTGGTGGTGGACAGTACAGTGTGTGCCCCCTGGTGGTGGACAGTACAGTGTGTGCCCCCTGGTGGTGGACAGTACAGTGTGTCGCCCCTGGTGGTGGACAGTACAGTGTGACGCCCCCTGGTGGTGGACAGTACAGTGTGACGCCCCCTGGTGGTGGACAGTACAGTGTGTCGCCCCCTGGTGGTGGACAGTACAGTGTGTCGCCCCCTGGTGGTGGACAGTACCTTTCTTGACCTCTGCGATGACCCGCTCGGTGGCTGTGGCTCTCTTGGCCTCTCGACTTTCTTGGTTCACTCGATCTTTCTGTTTCTTTTTGCTGGAGCTGTGGTCCAGGGGCCCGGCTCTGTGCTGGGCCCGACCTCCTCCACTGCCCCCTGCAGGACAAACAACAGCACAGCAACTCAGACGGAGAAGAAAATATAAAGTGAAAAGAAAAGAAACGTGAAAAGATGAACAAACTAGGGACGGGCATTCGATGAAATTTTCTTAATCGATCGTTGGAAGAATTAACAAACGATTATCAATTAATCATGAACGTTTTTATATTAAAATGATCATCATTATTATTATTATTATCTGCACTAATCTGCATAAATAAATTCAACTTTACGACATATAAACATAACGACTCTAGATCCACATCAGCTGTTTGACATTATAATGTGTTTAATTCAGTTTTGTTCAAATCTCACAGAAACAAAACTTAAAACCACATCACTAATTTACATAAACTAAGTGAAGATAAAACTCCAGCTCTTGTGTCGCTGATGTGGTTCAACTTGTGTTGGATTAAAAGACATGACTCAGGTGAATACAGGTCAGTGTGACCAGATTTGTGTTTGTCAAAACCAGGACAGCGTACGGGGGGAGGGGGGCGGGGCCTCGTCATCCACATTGAGCGACTCTCACCTGGAAAAACTTTTTCCCACTGGACACAGAAACATATGTGCTGCTTTATCCACTGTGCACATGGACTCACACTTGTCCCAACGCAACGGAAAGTGTGGAATTTCTTCTACAAATCCTGGTTAAATCCACATTTGTGCTTCGGTTCGTTACAGACTGACCCACTGTTTGTGTCTCGCTCCTTCTGATGCAGAGACACATGTACACACCTGTTTGGTCACGACACACAAACATACATTCAGTTTGTCCATTAAAATGAACGTAATCGATGAAATTCTTAATGATCAATTATTGATTAATCGATTAATCATGCCCATCCCTAGAACAAACCACCATTTCCTCCACAAACAAAACAAAATATCGACAGAATCTTCATCAGCATAAAAACGTCCGACCTGCACTTCAGATCTGTACAAACTCTTGTGTTTGTCTTTGACTCTTCACGTCATTTTGTATTTAAAATGTGAACTTTGATCAAAATCCAATGATTAAAACATTAGATTTACAGTCTGATAATGTTCATGTATGTTTATGTCCCTCTGAACGTCTGTCACTCTTCAGGGGTTTCACTTTTCCACAGACGCAGACCCTGGAGACTCGGGCAGGTGTGGCAGGTGTGGCAGGTGTGGCGGGTGCGGCAGGTGTGGCGGGTGTGGCAGGTGTGTGGCGAGTGCGGCAGGTGCATCAGGTGTGGCGGGTGTAGCAGGTGCATCAGGTGTGGCAGGTGCGTCAGGTGTGGCGGGTGCGGCAGGTGCATCAGGTGTGTGCGGGTGCGGCAGTTGTGGCAGTTGTGGCAGGTGCGTCGGCTGCGGAGGTGTGGCCGGGGTGGCGGGTGCGTCAGTGTGGCGGGTGCGGCAGGTGGGAGAGTGTGGGCAGGTGCGGCGGGTGCGTCAGGTGTGGCGGTGCGGCAGGTGGGAGAGGTGTGGCAGGTGCGGCAGGTGGTGCGTCAGGTGTGGCGGTGCGGCAGGTGGGGAGGTGTGGCAGGTGTGGCAGGTGCGGTGCGGGGGTGGGAGGTGGTGGCGGTGTGGCGGGTGCGGCAGGTGTGGCGGGTGCGGCAGGTGGGGAGAGGTGTGGCAGGTGCGGCGGGTGGGTCAGGTGTGGCGGGTGCGGCAGGTGGGAGAGGTGGTGGTGTGGCGGGTTGTGGCGGGTGCGTCAGGTGTGGCGGTGCGGCAGGTGGGAGGTGTGGCAGGTGCGGCGGTGTGGGGCAGGTGTGGCGGGTGCGGCGGGGTGGGGGAGGTGTGGCGGGTGGCGGTGGCAGGTGTGGGGGAGGTGTGGGTGGTGTGGCAGGTGCGGGTGGGGGAGGTGTGGCGGTGTGGCGTGGCGGGTGGGGGAGGTGGGGGGGTGTGGCAGGTGTGGCAGGCAGGGTGGGGGAGGTGTGGCAGGTGTGGCGGCAGGAGTGGGGGAGGTGTGGCGGGTGTGGCGGGGGTGGGGAGGTGTGGCGCAGTGGGTGTGGCAGGGGTGGGGGCAGGTGTGGCAGGTGTGGCAGGTGTGGCGGGTGCGTCAGGTGCTGCAGGTGCATTGGTGGTACCTCCTCCTCCTCCTGCGCTGGCGTCCATCTTGGGGCACTTGGCGCTCACGGGCCGCCCGTCGCCGCTCTCACTTCCGCTGCTGGGCTCTGAATCGGAGGGTTGCCTCTTCCTGCTCGGCCCGGCTATTTTGGCGATGATTCGGGTGAGGACTTTCCCAGCGCGGAATCAGGAGGGACGGGAAAGGACCTGGCAACAAACACAACATCACAACATGTACGGAATCCAACAGAATCTGCAATCTAGTCTAAAATTACAAACTAAGGATCAGACTCGATACTTGATACTCGATACTCGATACCGATTCTGATTCTGCAATGAAAATAAAAACCTCTTTGTTTAGACGATCTCCTGGGATTTTCAACATTAAATGGTCGAACTTTCTTTTCTATTCCCATGTGGCCTTATGTCTGTGTGATCCCTCAGTGGTCCAGGACTAAACCAGGTCTAAACCAGGTCTAAACCAGGTCTAAACCAGGTCTAAACCAGGTCTAAACCAGGTCTAAACCAGGTCGAAACCAGGTCTAAACCAGGACTAAACCAGGACTAAACCAGGACTAAACAGGTCTAAAACCAGGACTAAACCAGGAATAAACCACGTCTAAACCAGTCTAAACCAGGTCTAAACAGGTCTAAACCAGGACTAAACCAGGTCTAAACCAGGACTAAACCAGGTCTAAACAGGACTAAAACCAGGTCTAAACCAGGACTAAACAGGACTAAACCAGGACTAAACCAGGTCTAAACCAGGACTAAACCAGGTCTAAACCAGGACTAAACCAGGTCTAAAACCAGGACTAAACCAGGACTAAACCAGGACTAAACCAGGTCTAAACCAGGACTAAACCAGGTCTAAACCAGGACTAAACCAGGACTAAAACAGGACTAAACCAGGACTAAACCAGGTCTAAACCAGGTCTTAAACCAGGTCACTAGTCTCTGTGCTCTTACACGATATTCCAGATTGTTCTAAACACATTTTTTTAGGATCCAGGTCTGTGATAAACGAGGATCTAGTTTCAGTACTAGTTTTGTGATCAATTAGTGTCTGAGTTTCAATATTTTTGACAAGAATATAGATTTTGATTATTGTTACATCCTTTTTTAACCATGGATCTATTAAAATAACTGGATACAGTGTTGCTGCTTGTATCTGCCTCGAGTTGTCGTAGTGTCACTCAGTGGTTCTACAGTCGAAAAAATCCCATGGGCCGAGAAGATTTTTCTCATAGAGGCAACGTAATCACAACCTGCTCGTGTTCGGCTGACAGGACCTACAACTTTCAAAAATGTCGGATTTTGTGGCGATTTTTACCTATTTTTAGATCATGCACTTTTTTTCGCTCAAAATCCTTAAACGCTTTATATTCGTTAGCTCCTGCTCCGCTCTCGTTCCTCTCGCTCTGATTGGTCAAAGCGATCACGTGATACACGAGCCCGCGCTCCGTGCGTGTGGTCGCGTGCATTCGCGTGCATTCGCGTGTGCCCGTGGGAGAAAAGAGCACTACTGCGCATGCTCGGTCGGCCCACAGCCACCGGAAGAACCTCGCCGGGCTAATCTGGGATCATGCGACCATTGAGCTCAGCCCATTGACTTGAATGGGCGGCCATTTTGGAACCTGGGGGCTTGTTTTTAACTAATAAAATTCCAGAGGTTGTGAAGTCGTCTGCATAAACTCTATAAACAGATTTATTTACTTTCAGGATTCAGATTGTTCGTCTGTTGTGACATGTACAGTTCATATTAATGTGAAAATACAGAATTATTACATTACATTATTATGATTTAATCTGTAACGAGGTTTTATTGAGTAAAAACTGTCCAAACTTACACCAAGCACCAAAACACTTTTCTGTCTTACTATATTTTATGACTTATTTTTCTATTATTCCTTTGTTTGACACGTGTCTCTTGCTCTTTTTTTGCTATTAATTTAGAATTTATTATTATTATTTGTGTGTTTTTCTCTTTGTTTTCATTTTATTTTGTGACGTGTGACTCCTGTGTGCAAATCATTTCCCTTGTGGATCAATAAAGTTTGTCCAAGTCTAACAAAAACAGACAGAGTGAAATATTTCTGTCTTCAAACTCTTAAACTGTGCTGTTGTTTAATCCTCATAAAGATTTATGTTCAAACACTAAACAGGAACAATGAGACTAAACTTTAACAACAAAAGCAGAACGACCAGATTTTCAAGATAAAAAACTGGGACGTCCCTGATTTATAATAATAAAATTATGAAACGAGTGTGTAATTAAGGACAATTGTTTCATTTATGACTAATGTGAGTCAGGACAGTCACATTTTCTTTGTGTCTTGGTCGTTTTGAAGCAGATTTTCTGTATTTTACCTCAACAAATCACAGTTTATGTCTCTTTTTAGTGTTGTTACGGATCAAATTGGTCAAAAATAGACACCTGGGACATTTCCATAACAGTTTGTTTCTTCTACTTTTGTTTTGTTAGATCACACTGAAGCACTGTCACAATAAAATTTAGGTCAAATAAACACACAAATGTCATTAATGTAATAAAAAAAAACAGCCTCTGGATCCAGTAATATCAGAGTCTAAGGTAGAGTGACCAGATTTTCAAGATAATAAACTGGGACGTCCCTGGTTTGTGCTGGCTGGTAATAATAAAATTATAAAACGAGTGTGTAATTAAGGACAATTGTTCTGCTCTCGGCTCATTTATAACTAACGTGAGTCAGGACAGACACATTTTCTTTGTGTTTTGGTTGTTTTTAAGCAGATTTTCTGTATTTTACCTCAACAGATCACAGTTTATGTCTCTTTTTAGTGTTGTCAAGTTTCAAATTGATCAAAAATAGGGACACTTAGAACATTTCTTGCACAAAACTGGGACTAATCAATAGTTTTGAATTGTTATAATTAACCAACACTAAAACAACACGGCTGCAGCCTGTAACAGTTGTTAGTTTGTTTCTTACACTTTCGTTTTATCAGCTCACACAAAAGCATCGTCACAATTTAAGTGAAATAAATACATAAATGTCATTAATGTAATAATAAAAAAACAGCCTCTGGATCCAGTAACATCAGGTCTAAAGTAGAGTGACCAAATTTTCAAGATAATAAACTGGGACTGGGTTTGTAGTGGTTGGTAAAATTATGAAACGAGTGTGTAATTAAGGACAATTGTTCTGCTCTCGGCTCATTTATGACTAACGTGAGTCAGTATAATCACATTTTCTTTGTGTTTTGGTCATTTTTTAAGCAGGTTTTCTGTATTTTACCTCAACAGATCACAGTTTATGTCTCTTTTTAGTGTTGTCAAGTTTCAAATTGTTCAAAAATGGGACACTTGAGACATTTCTTGCACAAAACTGAGACTAATCGATAGTTTTGCATAAATGTGCAGGGACAGGGGGACACGGGCTCAGAACTGGGACTGTCCCGGTGAAACGGGGACGTGTGGTGTCCCCCCTAAACAAAAGAAACAGAGTTATAATTAACCAACACTAAAACAACAACAACATGGCTGCAGTTTGTTGTCACGCGTTACTGTTTCTTACACTTTCGTTTTGTCAGATCTGCACTAAAGCAACGTCACAACTGAATTTAAATCAAATAAACACAATAAAAATCATTAAAATAATAATAATACTGTGGTGTTGCCGGGTCCAGAGGCGGTTTAAGGTAAAGACGAGAAACACACGACAAACACAAACACAACGAAACATGATTTTGAAGTATTTGACCAGTGTTGGGAGTAACAGATTACAAGTACCAGACTTATGTAATCAGAGTACTAATGATGAGTAACTGTATTCAGGACTAAACCAGGTCTAAACCAGGTCTAAACCAGGCCTAAACCAGGACTAAACCAGGTCTAAACCAGGACTAAACCAGGTCTAAACCAGGACTAAACCAGGACTAAACCAGGTCTAAACCAGGTCTAAAACAGGACTAAACCAGGTCTAAACCAGGACTAAACCAGGACTAAACAGGACTAAACCAGGTCTAAACCAGGTCTAAACCAGGTCTAAACCAGGTCTAAACCAGGTCTAAAACCAGGTCTAAAACCAGGTCTAAAACAGGTCTAAAACAGGACCAAACCAGGACAAAACCAGGTCTAAACCAGGTCTAAACATGTTCTAAAACAGGACTTACACCAAGACTTAAAACAGGACTTAAACCAAGACTTAAACCAGGACTGAACCAGGTCTACAAAAACAAACAAACTACATTTTGTTGTATATAATCTGCAGATCTGTAACACATTTTAAAAGTCACCTTCCCAACACTGTATTTAACAGTGATTTAAATAAAGTGTAAAGTTCTGGATCTGGTTCTGGCTCTGGTTCTGGCTCTGGTTCTGTGTCGGTTCTGTGTCGGTTCGGGGGTTTGTTGGTACCGTCTCGGAGCAGGAAGCGGCTCGAGTCCAAACAAAACAAACGTTAGACCGGAACATTAGCCCCTGAAACACTGAGCCCGTCCCGTGTCCCGGTCCAAACACAGCCCCGAACTCCGAGCACCTGCGGACGGAAAAGGTCCCGTCCGGTCCGGTCCCACCGGTTCGGTCCGGTTCTGTCGGTGTTTGTCGCGGTTAAATGAGATTAAGTGTTTCTTCCTGGAGCTAACGCGGCGCTAAGCTAATCACACACAGAACTGTAGATGAAGCGTTAATACCGCCGCCATTTTGGTGCGGGGCTTCCATGGGCTAAAGTCAAGTTCTTCATAAATCTAAACCAGGACTAAACCAGGACTAAACCAGGACTAAACCAGGACTAAACCAGGACTAAACCAGGACTGAACCAGGACTGAACCAGGACTGAACCAGGTCTAAACCAGGATTAAACCAGGTCTAAACCAGGTCTAAACAAGGACTAAAACAGGACTGAACCAAGTCTAACCCAGGACAAAACCAGGACCTAACCATGACTAAACTGGGACTAAACCAGAACTAAACATGGTCTATACCACCAGGTCTAAACTTGATTTCAACAGGACTGAAAAGGCCTAAACCTAGTCTAAACAAGGACTAAATCAGGTCTAAACCAAGTCTAAACCAGGACTAAAAAAGTACTAAAATTGGACTGTACAGCAGTGTTAGTCCTGTACCAAGATGGCGGCTTTGTTGACGTATTCGTTCCAACACACGGCGGGAGTCAACGCGAGATCTGCCGCTCTGTGTCTGTGTGAGTTAACGGCTAATATGCTACATGCTACATGCTACATGCTAACGCTAGCGGAGCTTCGAGGATAAAAACACTTTGACATTTTCACATTAAAACTGTGACATCGGCCCGAACCGCGGCTCCGAACCCCGCCGAACCCGGACACACGCTCTCACTCACGGGGGTGGGTCTGCGCAGCTCCGGTCCGGGCAGAGGCCGGTGCGGCGCGGGGCACACCGGGGCCGAGAGCCGCTCTGAGTCGCAGGCCGCAGCTCCTCCCCGGGACTCTCCTGCTGCTCTGCCCCGCTCTGATGCGCTCTCCCCGGGACTCTCCTGCTGCTCTGCCCGCTCTGATGCGCTCTCCCCGGGACTCTCCTGCTGCTCTGCCCTGCTCTGCCCCGCTCTCACCGAGTCTCTCCTGCGCTCTCCCCGGGACTCTGCTCCGGGTCCGTGCTCCGGGTCCGTGCTCCGGGTCCGTGCTCCGGGTCCGTGCTCCGGGTGTCGGTTCCTCAGCCCGGGCTCGGGTTGGACCGCGGCTGGAGGTTCATGTTGAGTCCTTGTGGTAAATGTCCGGTGTCGGCGCGGGTGAGTCCGGGTTAGTCCGGGTCAGTCCGGGTCAGTTCGGGTTACTCCGGGTCAGGCAGGTGTTCCGGGTCGGTTCTGGTCCACAGAGCGCACATATGTCGGTGTATTTGTCCGTGTTTCTTCGTGTTTCTCTTCGTGTTTCTGTTGTTTCTGTTTCTGCCGCTGCTCGGGGCGCGCGCCTCGTGCACCTGTTCCGGGAGCGCGCACTGTGCCGGCTGCGCGTTCACGTGTCTCTTCTTTGGGGTTTGAGGAGGAGACTCAGACTCAGACACTCAGACACTCAGAGACTCAGAGTGTAGCGCCCCCTGCTGGACTCTGGCTCCTGTTTACATCCTTGAACAGACGTGTCAAACTTTGTCCCGTGATATACACTACTCACAATAAGTTAGGGATATTGTTCTTTACATGAGTGCTTTTCCTATTTGGTCTGAATTTTTATGAAATAAATAAAAGTTCCCTTTCATATTACTAATAATGAATGGGAAGAAACACCATTTTCATTAGTTTAATATTTATTACCCCAGAAATTTAGACAATAACAAGGAAAGCCCCAAGTAACAAAAATGAACAATGTCAGTAGTGGGTGTTTCCACCATTTGTCGCATTGACAACTTGACAGCGACGTCTCATGCTCCTCACAAACCTCATGATGTTGTTCTGAGGCAATGTGTTCCACTCTTGCACCAGTGCTACACACGGTTCTGTCAGGTCATGTGGGGGTGGGGTATGATCGTCCAGTCTCTGCTTCAGCTGGTCCCAGACGTGCTCTGTGGGGTTCAGGTCAGGGGGCAGTGCTGGTCGTACCATGTGAGACACTCCCACTTCCTGAAGTTGATCTGTGACAATTCTGGCACGATGTGGTGGAGCATTATCATCCATGAACAGAAAGTTGGGGGTTTGCTGGTGGAACTGGGGATGGTGATGGGTTCTGTGAAGTCTCTGAGGTAAGAACGTGCAGTGACTGAGCCATCGACAGTAACCACATCTGTTTTGCTCTGACTGGTGATGCCTGCCCAGACTGTTGCACCTCCTCCACCAAACTGAACCCTGAGGACCATGTTGACCTCGGTGTATCGCTCACCTCGCCTTCTCCAGCAACACTGACGATCATCATTTCTGTGCTAAGTGACCCGACACTCATCAGTGAACAGGACGGTGGACACTGCTGCATTGTCCAGGTCACATGGTCTTGTGTCCACTGCAAACGTTCACGGCGGTGACTTGATGTCAGTGGAGTCACCTGCAACGGTCGTCTGGCGTTCAAGCCAAAGCGGTGGTGAAGTTTCAAATGGTTTGTCTGGAAACCCTAGTGCCCCTCACATCTCGTAAACGAGCCTGCAGCTGAGTGGCAGTTGCATAACGATGTCTGAGTGCACAGGTCCTTAGTTACTGGTCATCGTTGCGAACTGTCACTCATGAGGCTCCTCTCCTGGGTCCGTCACCAACTCTGCCAGTAGTTCTGTGTGTTGATGCAAGTCTGCTGATGACACTTTGAGACACACCAAGTTCACGAGCAACATCTAACTGCCTCCCACCGACCCGAAGGCGCACTATGGCTCGGTGGCGCTGCTCGTCCGTTAAGTGACGTTGTGTGTTCACGGCTGTTTGAACTGTGAACTTGGAATGACTTGACAATACCAGCTTTTTATACCCACAGAATGTTGAAATTGATGCCACATTGAAAAGGGTTTTTAGCTCCAGTATGTAAGACACACTGTCCACAGTGAGACTGTTACATGAAAAACCCAAAATGAGGTGTGTCTACCAGCCCAATACCGTTGCCTCTCTATCCCAAACATTTTCGAAGTGAACCAAACACCATATGTATGACATTCACTGACGCTCTCACAATATCCCTGACTTATTGTGAGTAGTGTAATTATATTTGTCCTGTGAAATCAAACATGTATCAGAGCTGCCGCCGCACACAGACAGACAATAGAGACATGATTTATTTAAAATGTTGTTATTATTTTATATTCTGTTTGTTCTGGATTTAGTGTTTAAGCAAAACTGTTATTAAACATTTATTGTAATAAGAAAAGGTTTACATTACTTAAACATGCTGATGATGTTGAAATGTTTCAATAAATATTTAGTTTGGTCCACGACTTAGTCCCAGTTTTTAGTTTTGTTCTCTGTCAGTTTGAGTTTGACTCTCGTGTCACAGAGTGTTTATAAGTTTTTATGAATCATGGATCTATAATAAACCTGGATAAGCCCCGCCCCCTCTGGATCAGCCCCGCCCCCTCTAGTGGCCGCTCCAGGTACTGCAGGAGCCGAGACAAAACAGTGACGTAAACAAAAACAAGGAGAAATTTAATTAGTCACTGGACTAAAGTTGATTTGGTTGAATCAGTTTCTTGTCTGAGCTGCTTTTTCAATTCTGGTCAGACTCTGGTGACTCTGTCTTATATCTGCCTGCAGGGGGCGCTCACTGCACTCACACTAACACACACACTAACACACTAACACACACACTAACACACACTAACACACACACACACACTAACACACACACACACACACACACACATTAACACACACACACACACACACTAACACACACACACACACACACACACACACACACACACACACACTAACACACACACACACACACACACACACACACACTAACACACACACACACACACACACTAACACACACACACACACACACTAACACACACACACACACACACACACACATAACACACACACACACACACACACACACACACACACACTAACACACACACACACACACACACACACTAACACACACACACTAACACACACACACACACACTAACACACACACACACACACACACTAACACACACACACACACACACACACTAACACACACACACACACACACTAACACACACACACACACACACACACACACACACACTAACACACACACACACACACACACTAACACACACACACACACACACTAACACACACACACACACACACACACACACACACTAACACACACACACACACACACACACACATAACACACACACACACACACACACACACTAACACACACACACTAACACACACACACACACACACACACACACTAACACACACACACACACTAACACACACACACACACACACACACACTAACACACACACACACACACACACACACACACACACACACACACACACACACACACACACTAACACACACACACACACACACACTACACACACACACTAACACACACACACACTAACACACACACACACATAACACACACACACTAACACACACACGTTTACAGTTTGTGTTTGTTAGTTCGGCCTGTTGATCTGTTCTCAATGTTCTGTTATACATAAAAAGTCGTTTAAAAATGTTTAAATGTATAATTCACTTGTCTTAATAATTCTTACGTTTCGCTTGTGTCTGGCGTCATCTAGTGGACACCTTTGAAACTGCACGCACCGAATCAAACTTTATTGAACAGTAGTGACGGCTGTGAACAGCAGACATGGCGGCACACAGTTGCTTTCTGAGTCGGTCATTTTTTATTTTATTTTGAGGTTGCATCGCCGGTACGTATTTCCACACATGTTCAACAACTTTAGTCGTTTATTTTACTTGTTTGTTTTTAATACTAACATTATAATATGATAATTACACGTGAACCACACATGTGGGGACATATTGACTGACTGATTCTTCTGATATTTCCACACACTCAGTGCAGTTCAATAGACGGAACTAACAAACAGAAATTGTAAACAAATGTGTGTGTTAGTTTCAGAGGAGTTTCAGTGTAGTTAGCTCCTCCTTCAGACAGATAAAAGGAACCAGAGTCTGACCAGAACTGAAGAAACAGTTTGGAGGAGCTGAAAAACAGATTCAACCAGATAAACTTTTTATCTTTTTGCAGTGGATTCTACCTGAATGACTGAAGGACTTTACACACGCCTGAGAGTTAAAGTGTAATTTAACGTACAGTGTGCAAAAGTTAAACCCAAACTTCCTCCTGGAGATAGATCCGTTTAATGCCAAAGTGTGGAATATTATCACCAAAGCAACAACATTTCTGTGGAGATGAGCAGGACGAGTTTGTGGAGATTCAAACCTGTTCACGAGTTTTTCAGTTCCATAAACACACACAGAAACGACACAGTGTCGGGGAGTAACAGATTACATGTACCAGAGTAATCAGAGTACAAATGATGAGTAACTGTATTCAGTTACAGTTACTGTTTCAATGAGTAGTAATTGGATTACAGTTACTTTGTTGAAATAAATGGATTACACAGAGGGATTTTACTGTTTTCACATTTCAGGCTGTATCCCTTTTTAAAAAAAAAATATTTTTTGGTGATTCTGCGCTCACTGCCGGACACTAAACCAGGACTAAACCAGGACTAAACCAGGACTAAACCAGGACTAAACCAGGACTAAACCAGGACTAAACTAAACCAGGACTAAACCAGGACTAAACCAGGACTAAACCAGGACTAAATCAGGACTAAACTAGGACTAAACCAGGACTAAAACTGGACTAAACTAGGACTAAACCAGGACTATAACTGGACTAAACTAGGACTAAACCAGGACTAAACCAGGACTAAACCAGGACTAAACCAGGACTAAAACTAAATCAGGACTAAACTAGGACTAAACCAGGACTATAAACTGGACTAAACTAGGACTAAACCAGGACTATAACTGGGTATAAACCAAGACTAAACCAGGACTAAAACCAGGTCTAAACTAGATCTAAACCAGGTCTAAACCAGGACTAAACCAGGACTAAATCCTGCTGTGTGGACGTGTTTCTTCGTTTTCTATCAATAATATTTTTAATTTGGTTCAGTAAAGTTTGGACTTTTTATTTTCTTTTATCAGACAAAACTTCTTATGTGAAGATTTCCTCGTCTTTGTTTCTCTACAACAAATCAAGTAATCCAAAGTAATCAGATTACATTACTCACTTTAAGTAATTTAATGGATTACGTTACAAACTACATTTTGGGGAGTGTAATCTGTAATCTGTAGGGGATTACATTTGAAAAGTCACTTCCCAACACTGAAAAGACGTGTGTGTTTTTGTCTTAAAAAGTGACAGAGTGCGGCTTTACGTCGTGGTGTCGTTGCACAGAGGCGGAGTCTGGACGAGCTCGTGGTTCATCAACTTTAATTCAAAGGAAACAGAAACGGTGAAACAGACAAACTCTTTGGTGGTTTTAATTTTCATGCACAAATATAAAAACGTGGAGTAAAATACAAAACAGAAACAGGACGATTCTTTTGGCTTCATGCAACAAACAGATTTAAAGCTTCACCCTGGAACATTGGACTGATTAAACATGAGGTCATCAGAGTCCAGATCAACACGGGACTGAAACGTTTATGATTTAAATTTGTGACTTTTTGTATTAAATTTGTGACTTTTTTTTTATTCAAATTTGTGACTTTTTTAATTAAATTTGGATCTTTTTGTATGAAATTTGTGATTTTTTAATTAAATTTGTGTCTTTTTGTATTAAATTTGTGACTTTTTATTAAAATTTTTGTCTTTTTGTATTAAATTTGTGACTTTTTTATTAAATTTTTGTCTCTCAGTATTAAATTTGTGACTTTTTTTTTTATTAAATTTGTGTCTTTCTGTATTCAATTTGTGACTTTTTAATTAAATTTGTGTCTTTTTGTATTAAATTTGTGACTTTTTAATTAAATTTGTGTCTTTTTGTATTAAATTTGTGACTTTTTATTAAATTTGTGTCTTTTTGTATTAAATTTGTGACTTTTTTATTAAATTTTTGTCTCTGAGTATTAAATTTGTGACTTTTTTTTTAATTTAAATTTGTGTCTTTCTGTATTCAATTTGTGACTTTTTAATTAAATTTGTGTCTTTTTGTATTAAATTTGTGACTTTTTAATTAAATTTGTGTCTTTTTGTATTAAATTTGTGACTTTTTGCATTAAATTAATGACTTTTTTATTAAATTTGTGACTTTTTGTATTAAATTTGTGACTTTTTAATTAAATTTGTGTCTTTCTGTATTAAATTTGTGACTTTTTTATTAAATTTGTGTCTTTTTGTATTAAATTTGTGACTTTTTAATTTAATTTGTGTCTTTTTGTATTAAATTTGTGACTTAAAAAAAAAATTAAATTTGTGTCTTTGGAAGTTTAAATTAAAGCATTAGAAAAAATCAGTAGGTCTGTGTTCTAGTCCCGGTTCAGTCCGGTTCAGTCCCGGTTCAGTCCTGGTCTAGTCCTGGTCTAGTCCTGGTCTAGTCCCGGTCTAGTCCTGGTCTAGTCCTGGTCTAGTCCTGGTCTAGTCCCGGTTTATTGGCAGGTGTTGTAGATCTGGATTTGTCTGTTGATTTCCTGGAGGATGGTTTTCATTTTATCTTCTAACCCGTCCAGTTGTCGAGCTTTTCCCTCCAGCTTCTTCTGGTTCTCCTCATAGTTCTGCTCCAGTTCTGCCACAGGAACAAGAACAAGAACAAGAACAAGAACGTCACAGAACCTCAAACTCACTGGGATGTTCTTAGAGTGACCAGACTTTAAAATCAAAACTGGGACATTCTCGGTTTTGGGACAAAGGTCCTGGTTTAGTCCTGGTTTAGTCTTGGTTTAGACCTGGTATAGACCTGGTTCAGTCCTCGTTCAGTTCTGGTTTAGTCCTGGTTTAGACTCAGTTTAGACCTGGTTTAGACCTGGTTTAGTCCTTGTTTAGTCCTGGTTTAGACCTGTTTTAGTCCTGGTTTAATCCTGGTTTAGTCCTGGTTTAGACCTGGTTTAGTCCTGGTTTAGGTCCTGGTTTAGTCCTGGTTTAGTCCTGGTTTAGACCTGGTTTAGTCCTGGTTTAGTCCTGGTTCAGTCCTGGTTTAGTCCCTGGTTTAGTCTGGTTTAGTCTGGTTCAGTCAGTCCTGGTTTAGTCCTGGTTCAGTCCTGGTTTCAGTTTCCTGGTTTAGTCCTGGTTTAGTCCTGGTTTAGTCCTGGTTTAGTCCTGGTTTAGACCTTGGTTTAGTCCTGGTTTAGTCCTGGTTTAGTCCTGGTTCAGTCCTGGTTCCTGTCCTGGTTTAGTCCTGGTTTAGTCCCTGGTTTAGTCCTGGTTTTAGTCCTGGTTTTAGTCCTGGTTTAGTTCCTGGTTTTAGTCCTGGTTTAGACCTGGTTTAGTCCTGGTTTCCTGGTTTAGTCCTGGTTTAGTCCTGGTTCAGTCCTGGTTCAGTCCTGGTTTAGTCCTGGTTTAGTCCTGGTTTAGACCTGGTTTAGTCCTGGTTCAGTCCTGGTTTAGTCCTGGTTTAGTCCTGGTTTAGACCTGGTTCAGTCCTGGTTCAGTCCTGGTTTAAGTCCTGGTTTAGTCCTGGTTTAGTCCTGGTTTAGTCCTGGTTTAGTCCTGGTTTAGTCCTGGGTTCAGTCCTGGTTCAGTCCTGGTTTAGTCCTGGTTTAGTCCTGGTTCAGTCCTGGTTTCAGTCCTGGTTCAGTCCTGTTTAGTCCTGGTTTAGTCCTGGTTCAGTCCTGGTTCAGTCCTGGTTTAGTCCTGGTTTTCAGTCCTGGTTTAGTCCTGGTTTAGTCCTGGTTTAGTCCTGGTTTAGTCCTGGTTTAGTCCTGGTCTGGTACAAACCTGCGAGTCGGCTGAGTTTGGCCTGTGCGTCCTGCAGCAGCGTTTTGGCCTCCTCCCTCAGACTCTCGGCTTTCCTCTTGGCCTCCAGCACGGCCTTGGCTTTAGTGTCGACCCTCTGCTGGACCTCGTGGTATTTATCTGTGAGCTGCCCGTCCAAGATCTGACCACACACAGGAGAACAGACTGAGAACACAGGAGAACCACAGAAGAACCACAGAAGAACCACAGGAGAACCACAGAAGAACCACAGGAGAACCACAGGAGAACCACAGAAGAACCACAGAAGAACCACAGAAGAACCACAGAACCACAGAAGAACACAGAGAACCAGAAGAACCACAGAAGAACCACAGGAGAACCACAGAGAAGAACCACAGAAGAACCACAGAGAAGAACCACAGAAGAACCACAGGAGAACCACAGAAGAACCACAGAAGAACCACAGAGAAGAACCACAGGAGAACCACAGAACCACAGAGAACACAGAAACCACAGAAGAACCAACAGAGAGAACCACAGAAAGAACCACAGAAGAACCACAGAAGAACCACAGAAGAACCAGACAGAACCACAGAGAAGAACCACAGAGAACCACAGAACCACAGAAGAACCACAGAAACCACAGACAGAAGAACCACAGAAGAACCACAGGAGAACCACAGAAGAACCACAGAGAACCACACACAGGAGAACCACAGAGAACCACAGAACCACAGAGAAGAAACCACACACAGAAGAACCACAGAAGAACCACAGAGAAGAACCACAGAAGAACCACAGAACCACAGAAGAACCACAGAGAACCACAGAACCACAGAAGAACCACAGAACCACAGAAGAAACCACAGAACCACAGAAGAACCACAGAGAAGAACCACAGAAGAACCACAGAAGAACCACAGAAGAACCACAGAAGAACCACAGAAGAACCACAGAGAAGAACCACAGAGAAGAACCACAGAGAAGAACCCACAGAGAAGAACCACAGAGAAGAACACAGAAGAACCACAGAAGAACCACAGAAGAACCACAGAAGAACCACAGAAGAACCACAGAAGAACCACAGAAGAACCACAGAAGAACCACAGAGAAGAACCACAGAGAAGAACCACAGAAGAACCACAGAAGAACCACAGAGAAGAACCACAGAAGAACCACAGAAGAACCACAGAAGAACCACAGAAGAACCACAGAAGAACTGGAGGAACATGGGAGGGCATCTGACGTACCTGCTTGGCCTCGTTGGCCTTGTCTCGGGCCATGGTGGCCGTCTCCTCGGCGCGCGCCGCCTCCATGCTGTTCTTAGCACGTTTGGTCTTCAGGAGGTTGATCTCCTGCCCCAGAGCCCCCAGACGCCCCACGGCCTCCACCAGGTGCTCCTCACAGCGAGAGGCTTCCGACGCGATCTGGAGAACAACGACAGGAACCTCACAACAACCACAACCTCACAACGACAGGAACCTCACAACAACCACAACCTCACAACAACCACAACCTCACAACAACAGCAACCTCACAACAGCAACCTCACAACAACCACAACCTCACAACAACCACAACCTCACAACAACCACAACCTCACAACAACCACAACCTCACAACAACCACAACCTCACAACACAACAACCACAACCTCACAACAACCACAAACAACCACAACAACACAACCTCACAACAACCACAACAACTCACAACAACCAGCAACCTCACAACAACCTCACAACAACTCACAACAACAGCAACCTCACAACAACACAACCAACCTCACAACAACCACAAACAACTCACAACAACCACAACAACTCACAACAACACACAACAACTCACAACAACTCACAACAACCACAACAACTCACAACAACACAACACACAACCAACCTCACAACAACACAACCTCACAACAACCACAACCTCACAACAACAGCAACCTCACAACAACCACAACCTCACAACAACAGCAACCTCACAACAACACAACAAACAACCACAACCTCACAACAACCACAACCTCACAACAACAGCAACCTCACAACAACAGGAACCTCACAACAACCACAACCTCACAACAACCTCACAACCTCACAACAACTCACAACAACCAACAACTCACAACAACTCACAACAACAGCAACCTCACAACAACAACCTCACAACAACCACAACCTCACAACAACCACAACCTCACAACAACAGCAACCTCACAACAACCTCACAACAACAGCAACCTCACAACAACCACAACCTCACAACAACAACCTCACAACAACACAACCTCACAACAACCACAACCTCACAACAACAGCAACCTCACAACAACCACAACCTCACAACAACCACAACCTCACAACAACAGCAACCTCACAACAACTCACAACAACAACCTCACAACAACTCACAACAACAGCAACCTCACAACAACCGCAACCTCACAACAACAGCAACCTCACAACAACAGCAACCTCACAACAACAGCA